ACCGAGGGAACAGAGCTCCGCCACCTTCGTCAAGCAGAGAAGCTCTGTTCTTCATGATTACATACTCTGGGCTTCTGGGGAAATTTAATTTGAACAGTGTTTCCATTTGAAAAAAAAAAAAATTGTCTACAAAGTATTTGAAAGTCGCTGCACTAGATCACGTTGCTTTTAGCATGCTTAGCATGTACTTTCACACGTGTTCACTACTTTCTGTAACCCTTATAACTGTCTGGAGGAGATAAGGAACTGAGGTCCTCAGAGACTCAGCATCTTTCCCCACAGCTTGGTGGTGGCAGAAATGGAGCTTGAACCTCAGTTTAAGAGCTCCCAACTGCTCGTTCCCTCTTCTCTGGACCCCCTGCTCCAGGAGGCTGCCTCCCTGTGCCCGCTCAGCCTGTAATCCTTGCTTCCCTCCTGCCCTCTCCCACTTCCCTCCTCTCTCCAGCCCATCATCTTCGTTTCGGACAGAGCAAACAGCAACAAGGAGCTGGGTGTGGACCAGGAAGCAGAGGAGGGCAAAGACAAAACAAGCCCTGATAAGCAAGAGAAATCCCCACAGGTTCTGAGCATGCGGCATGAACGGAGTGGCCAGCACACACTGGGGTCTTCTATGCTTTTGGGGTGCTCAGGTTGGAGGGGTCACAGGGATAGGGTGTCCCTTTAACATCTAGAAATTTAGATTTCTCTCACTGACTTTTTCTCTCATCAAGTTCTAAAATCTGGAGTGCTGCTTGAGTGAATGTCTTGGGGGTTGGCAGCCACATCAAGGCAGTCCTAGGCCTGGGAAGGACAGGCTGACCATTCCTGCTGGAGCCTATCCAGCCAGGACAATGAGGGAAAGGGCAACTCCTGTTTCCTGGTGTCCTCCAGCTCTTAGCCATGGAGGATAAAGAATAGTAGCAGAAAATGGGGCTGCATCAGAAATGAAGCCTATCGGAGCCCAGGGAGGCTGTGAGATGGGACTGGGGGAAGGTGGTCATGTAATGGTTAGTGGAGGTGGAGCTAAGGGACTTAAGCCCACAGACAAGACCAGGGCCACCTCCTCTATCCCAGAGGTCCTTGCAATGGAGTGGGGGGAGGGACCCTCTGAGGACTCGGCCTTGATGCTGTACAGAGGCAGCTGGGGGTGTCCCCTTCGTCCTGCTGGGGCTTGCTGGGTTGGGATGGTCAGGCTCACAACAGTGGAGAGGCTCTAGCTGGTGGAGATGGGGAAAGGGACCACGGGGCTGTCTACACGTCTGCATGGCTAAGGTATCTCCTGTCTGGGGTGTCTGGGCTGGGGAGGCACGGACCGAAGGGCTGCTGGTGCCTGGATGATTCTCACTCCAGCCCACCGGGTTTGACAAGACAGACGAGCATTTGCCCTGTACCCAGCTCCTGCTGCCACCTCGGGCTGTTGTAGGCACTCTGGCTCCTGCAGCCCGGGAAGAACTTTCCCCTCGGGTCTCACCATCTCCCTGACCCCTGTGAACCAGTTTCCCTTTGTGCTTCCACAGCCACGCCCTGGCAACACTGACCCGGAAACTGAAGAGCAGCAGCACTTCCGGAACATTTTCAAGCAAATAGCGGGTGATGTGAGTACCTCCAACCCCAATTCCCACAGAGACTCCTTTCCTTGATGAACTGCTTAAATGACCAGTGACCTCTTCATTGTTCAGTAGAGGTCACTTTGGCTTTTGGTGGAAATGAGATGTGTGTAGCACAGAAATCCACAAGTCAAGCATTTAAACAAATGCACCCACGGGGTGGCTCAGTGGCATTTTGCTCTGAGCTGCCCACTGCAGTCTGGACAGCTGAGGCTGCAACGTCTGTCTTTCACAGAACAGCCCGTTTCCCTGTGACAATAGCACTGACAGGGGCTTTACAAACATGGACAGCTGGGTTTCGTTCTGCAAAGCCTTTGCTCACCGGTTCCTGTACTCTCGAACGTGACTCTCTACTCCTTCCTCCTCAGGACATGGAGATCTGTGCAGATGAGCTCATGAATATCCTTAATACAGTCGTGAACAAACGTGAGTGGCTCAAACCATATGTATGGGATGGGTGGGCGGGGGAGGGGAGGTGTGTTATCTAAACGTAGTTCTTCACTCTTCTCCACACCTCCCAGATAAGGACCTGAAGACACAAGGGTTCACGCTGGAGTCCTGCCGTAGCATGATTGCTCTCATGGATGTATCCTTCCCGCCACCCTTCCCAACTCTCTCTGGGGGCCAGGCAACAATGAGGGGCGCCCAATCAGGCAGAGGGGCCCCAAGTCACACCCAAGAAAAGACTTATGGGAATCCTGAGTCAGAACCTCCTGGCTGCTGGTCTGAGACTATTGTACAAGTTGGGAAGGCTGTTGGTTATTACCAGCTCCTGGCCCCAGCCCAAGCAAAAGTGGTCCTTGGGAGACCGCTCCCTGGGTCATAGACACTAACTTTGGGGAGACATGCAGGGTAGGGTTAGATACCAGGACAGGGCATTAATATAGGACAGTGGGTAGAATGTCCTGGACAGAGGCGTCCTGTGGGGCTACCTTCCCTGCAGAACCCTCTAGAAACCCCCCTTCCCAAGTCCAGGAGGATTTTGCTATGTGCGCCCTGTAGCCCTAACCTTCCTCCAGACAGATGGCTCTGGGAGATTGAACCTGCAAGAGTTCCATCACCTCTGGAAGAAGATTAAAGCCTGGCAGGTGGGGAGGGAGAATAGTGTAGGGGTGGAGGAGGAGGTTGATTCAGGGATTGTGTGTAACCACTATCCTCAAATGTTCTATTGCCAGAAAATCTTCAAACACTATGACACAGACCAATCCGGCACCATCAACAGCTACGAGATGCGAAATGCAGTCAATGATGCAGGTGCTGGGGAGGAGGGGGTGGCCGGGAAGTGGCTGGAGCTGGTGGAAGCAGGGGTGGGAAGAGAGGACTAGGCCACTGGGCCCTACTGGAGAGAGGAAGGAGAAAGGGCTTCTCGTTTTCCTTTCCCAAGAGGCAGGGAAAATAGAATGCAGGCCTAAGGACTGCAACTCCACTTCCTCCTCTCAAGTGCTCCCTCCACAGGATTCCACCTCAACAGCCAGCTCTACGACATCATTACCATGCGGTATGCAGACAAATACATGAACATCAACTTTGACAGTTTCATCTGCTGCTTCGTCAGGCTGGAGGGCATGTTCAGTAAGTGGAGGCGACCATTCCGCTCTCTTGTGCTCCTCCTGTCCCCTCTCCCACAGTGAGAGCTGTGGCAGTAGGGGTCTCAGCCTGATTACCCATCCCATCTACTTTACACAGACTGAACAAAGGAGAACGTTCTCTTTAGGCTCAGAATGGGTTGGCAAAGGGAGGGCTGTTGGTAACACTTTGCCTGGCAGACCATGGTCCTCTTAAGAAAAGTTACAGTAGTAGAGGGAGAGTGAACCTGTGGCCTCTGGCCTGTATTCATTCTTCCAACAGGAGCTTTTAACGCATTTGACAAGGATGGAGACGGTATCATCAAACTCAACGTTCTAGAGGTAAAGCCTGAAAATTCAAGGTGGAGTCAATGAGGCAGACTGGACTCACTATGTGTTCATTTCCAAATGGTGGTGGAGGGATGGGATAGGAGAGGAACAGAAAGGGAAGCACAGAAAGGGGAAGGTGGCTCGTGGGGAACGCATACTCCAAAGGGTCCTCATTCCTAGAATAACTTTATGCTGGAAAACAGGTATGTTCACAGGAGATCTGGGGGAGGATGCCGATTCCTAGAAAATCTTCCAACTGTCTGGCATGCTAGGCCTGTGCCTGTCCCCCTACCCTAGAAGATCCCCAGTGCTGGGCTCTCTGTTCTTGTTTGCATTCTGATCTGGGGACTTTCTCTTTCAGTGGCTGCAGCTCACCATGTATGCCTGAACCAAGCTGGCCTCAGCCAAGACCATTCAGGATCACTCAGGATTTCAATTTCACCCCATGTAGCTAGAACCACTTCCCTCAAAGGTGGCGGTAGCTGCACCCCAACAGGCCTTCCAGGTGCCTCATCAGTGTTGTTCTTCCTCTACTCCTCCCAACCCCCACCTAGGCCTCAGGGCATCTGTCCTGCCCAAACTGACCCTTTAGTTAAGGAACCTTTTCCCTTTGCACATGGAGGCAAATGTCTGTCCGCCTCAGCTAGCTGTAGCCCAGCTGAGAGATTTGCTTGGAACTGAGCAGCCTCCCCTCTGAAGCAAATGCTCTCCTTAGTGTGCCCCAGACTGTTCACAGACGTGTTAGCCAACGGCACTCAGAACTTTCTGTGCTGGAGCCCTCTATCACCTTTATGTCCTTCCACCCACTGGATAATAACCAAACTAGCACGTGGTTCTGTCTGATTATTTCAGGATGGACCTGCTCTGGGGGAAACCAGCTCAGTGAAAGAGAGCTAGATACTTTGGGTTGTCTGACTCCTAAGTTTGGCTGCATTCTGAAAAAAGCGGATCTAAATAAAGGCATGTGTATGGCTGGTTCTATCATGTTTTGTTTTCTCACATTTAGGTATCAGCCGTAGCAGGGCTGAGTAGCTTCCAATCCTACACTCACCTTACCACATAGAGAGCCCTAGTTTCAGAATACAACAATGGAGAACACACACACACAAATAAACCCCAAATCCCACTTTAATCATGCCTATCAGCATTTCTTGAGCATAGAAATCACTCAGATTCCTTATACAAAGGGAGGGGAACAGCTCTTGGTATACTGAATAAGAATAAATGGGTCACCTACAACTGGAAGGTCATTTACCTAAGTGTAATGGAGCATAAATGTAGTTTTAATCTTAGCGCTTCTGTTAACCGATTGACCTGTGTGTATGACCTTGAACAAATCCTTAAATGCAGCTGTTTGCCAAACTTATCCAACCCATCGTCTGTGGCTTATGTATAAACAAATTGTGTTTTCCACCCAATTTTCTTTAGTCTCTATACCAACATGGAAAAGGGGTTGGCTAAGAATGAGCAGATAAGGTAACAAAAGTAAACAATTAGTAAAAGTACTTTATTTTCCTCTTGTATTTGCTTTATATCTTGCTTTACAAAGTTATGAAGTTCACAGGTTTATACCAAAATGTAAGAAGGCTGAGCTTTTTGCTTATAAACATATTTTGCAATCAAATGTCATCTGATTTCATTCTTCTAGTCCATATTCAATATTAAAAAATTCAAATACCAGGGGTGCTGGAGCAGCTCTAGGGCATGTATTTCTCCTAAGCAGGAGAAAGATCTTCAACAGTCTTTCCTCCTTGACTCTTCTCCTCCCCCAATCCAACTGCGCTTCTACCTTGAATTTAGAGCAAATCTGGGAAATTTTAGCGGCCATGTGACCCAGCAGGGCCACATACTTAGGGTTGGAGGTGAGGTTAGAGGTTATTGTCTGATAAGTAGTAGGTTTGGTTTACATCAGAATTTCACATCCACTTGCATTCGGAACTCAGTATAGCCCAAATCACCTCCACCACAGCTCTATTCCTAGTCATTAGACAGCTTCTTTGCAATCCTGAGGGTCCTGATGATTTGAGGCAGGGACAAAAATCGATATTTTATCAATATGGTAGGTATGGCCTTCACAGCAATTCTAAAAGCTCTCCTTTAGGTAACAGGAACAAAACCTGTAAGTCAGCATATATTAATTGCAGTTATTTAAGCAAACCAGGGGGAACAGGCTGTTCAAATCTCACATCACTATATACTTTGATATCCCCGCCAATGAATTCTCTTCCATAAAACTTATCATACCATTCCACTAAGTGCTTTCTGTGCACCTACGCCACCACACCATCCACACACCTAGTCACCAAAGTTGTCCACTGTATAGTCTACCCCGATTCCCCCCACCCCTCAAAATTAAAATAATCTTTGTTAGGCAAATAATCACTTGAACAGCAATGATATTGCCTATAACTTATAGGTAGGTCAGGAGCTAAACACCTAACTGCTAATTCTTCTGACAGAAAAACCTCCCCACAAAAGCAGGAGTGTGGTAGCAAATTCAAGTACATCGGGCCAAAATAATTCGTTGCTCTGAGTTCTGTTTGCGTTATTTAATTGCCATATAACCGAGTAGAAGAGTATGCCAAAATACATGTTGAGCCTGATTAGAACTTTAGGATAAAAAGAAGTGACTGATACTATATCAGAACAAACTGCCATGAGAGCGCTGGCAGATGCGCACAGAAGGGTTCACACCAGTTTCCTCGGCTTCTGGCCGCGAGAAGTAGGCACACGTGATTAAAAATCACATTCCAAAAAATGGCCTCCAACTCCTTGTAAGAAATGAGTCAGGTTTTGTCAGGTCATGTAACAATTTCCTTTCCTCATAAATTACTAAATAGCAGAATTAATGCAAACCCTGAGCCACAGCTCTTCTCTGAGGGGGCCGGGGGCCGGAATCAGTCGAGACACTGTAGATGGCTTAAAAATAGCCAAAAATCTGCATAACTTTCAGAAACTTTAATAACAAACTTTAATAACATACATAAGCAGCCAAGACGTTTATGGTGCATTTATTTCTAAACAGAGGGCTAGAACAGTGCATTTAGGATAACACACTAACCTGATGTTAAACAAATTTTACACATCCTTGAAACAAAGATATTACTGCTTCAAAGAAAACTTTTGTGAAATGAGGAAAAGTATTCCAAGTATAGGTACCCATCCACACAAACATATACAGGAACAATCATACACACACAGGCAGACACACTGTGCACAATTCCACCAAAGTGAAACCCAAATCAATTCTTACTGATTCTACCTGCAGAGGTTCCCCACGATTGTCCAACAGCTGCCCTACAAAGGCTCCACACTCTCATCTTTTCAGACATGTCCTCAGACATGACAGAAAAACACCTATGTAACAGGGCATGCAAGACTTTCTAAGCACACTGCCCGGTCAACTTGACAATGAGGCTTCACTACAGCCCAGAGAAAAATGCCAGGTTTGGCAATAAATCCAAATATACTTTCCTGGAAATTCACCATTCCCAAACCCACAGAACAGCCTGGCTTCTCTGGTCACCTGTATAGGAAATGAGGGTGAGAGGTGGGAAAGACTTCTTAATCTCACAGACAAATAGTCTTTTTGCAACAGGATCCTCTCTGTTCTCTCTCAAGTGTCATGTAAATCTCAAGATCGTAGTCAACAAAAAGCTTTCCCATTCACAACAACAGGAGTAAATAGCAGTGGGGCCATTCATTATCTAGTAGTAAGTAGCCCCTATATTAGTTCTTAATGTTTTGGATGCAGTAAGAACCATTAGAGCCTTCCCTGGAAAAAAGAACACATACTTCACCTTGCATACAATTTCAGGGGGTTCGCATACCCCCCTGAAACCTATGCACGAACTCCCAGTGAAGCTCCCCTGCCCTGGAGCTGGAGTGAGGAGACACGTGAGGAGATCTGTGTGCACTAATGGGAGCGGAGAGAAACCTGGATGCTCTGCAATCCTAGAAACAGTAGGTGCCACATCCCAAAGCTTGGTTAAGTGGCACTGAGCTCCTCCCTTCTGTCTCCCTGAAGAACCTTTCAGAGTTCTGTGAATCCAGAAACAAAAGAATGGAAAGCATATTATTTCTCTTGAGTCCAGAGAAAAGCCAAAAACAAAGCAGTCTCACTTAGGCTTTGTTAATGTGGCTGCTCTCAATGGACTGGTAGTCTTTACCTTCCCGATTCCACTCTTCTCCCAGCAAGTGGAGAGGTAAAGGCAAGACAATGGCTTTAGAAATCAGTCTGTAAGAAGCCTGCTTGAGGCCCTACAAACTGAATTCATGCTTTATCCTACTCTCCCATCTTGGGTGCAGCAGGTGAGTGGAAAGCATTCTGTAAGCCCAGAGAAGGTACCTGACGGCTGCCCTCAGTCTAAGCGCAGCTAGAGAATGGGAGGGGGACGGTTTGGCAATAGAGCAAACTAAAAAGTTTCGATCCCACAGCAGCCTTGAGAGTCAGAAACTGGAAAGGGAGATAAAGGCTACACCTCCAGTTCAAGCAGCAGTGAGTATCCAGGTCTAACAGCACAATTTCAAAGTGGGCATTAGGCCTGTGAGCTGCCCTCAACCAAGCACTCTAGCAAAGCCTGCAGAGAGGTCCACTAGGTAGTGCTGTCTGTAAGGACTTGTCATCATGTGATCTGCTGTCTGAGTCCCTATAAAATATAGTTAGCAGAGCAGTCACTCTGGCTGCTAAAAATCTACTGTCTCACTTTAGCATTTCAAGCCAGCTCTGTCCACATACAAAGCAAGAGAATATTGAAACACACTAAACATAATTATTAAAAGAAAACTATTTGCTTTTTAAGTACCCAGTTGTTACAACTAGAAAAATGAAAACTGATCCTAAAAATCTAGCATTTGAACAAACTGGTACTTGAAGCCTGACTACAGGTTTAAACCATCATAAGAACATAAACTAAATTACAAACTGAAATCAATAAAAATATGACTAGGGTCAAATTAGGTAAGCAATTAAGATCTGCACCTGCAATAAACATCTGGAGAGCACTAGCAGCATAAATTACTATATGCCACGCTGTCCCAGTATGGTTCCTTGAAATTGGTTTAAATCTGACAATCCTCAAGCAAGACCTTAAAGTGTAACTTATCGTCCCATAGAGCTGCTCAGATTTATGCTAGTGGTGACCTGGCTAGTAATCACTTTCTCCTTCCCCGCTTCGGGGGGGGGAGGGATAAGAGTGGCCTATGTGAGTGGCCAATATGAAATTAGTTCAACTAATAACTTCCCAACATGGGAGGCAAAAAACTTCACGAATCAACTTTACTGTCATCCTCAGCATGTCGTTCAATGTGTCCTGCAGCATCCTAGGAATAAAGAAAAAAGGACCCATGAGAGAGAAGTTGGTAGAAGGACAAGAGAAAGTCAAAGCCAAGGAGAGCTTCGTGGGTACATCCCACGGTCTATCCAGAAAAGGCAGCTCGAATCCAGCATTCTTCATTTGAAACCACATTAAGCTACCCCTCAAATCTCTGAAAAATAATAACAAGAAAAACCCCTAGGCTCTCCCAATTTATTATAATTCTGAACGTTCTAACTAGGCAAAAAAGTTTCCAAACTCTGCTTCTAGAGGTGGAATGACCTCAGATTGACCTTAAATCCCAATGATGTACCTGTTTGGATCCTTTCCTCACAGTGAAAAAAGCATCACAGTTCTTCCAGCGACATTTCAGAGTTTGGAAGTTCGGGTTTGTATGGTCAGTCAGCAAATGTTGTTTTAAATGATCTACAACACCAAATATCAGAGAGCAACCATGCCACTGGAGAGAAACAGAATGAAAGAGTTAAAAAGGGCACTGGAAGCATGCAAGTAGGACATTTCTACATAAATTCAGTGGAAACAAAAAGTCAGTCCCTTATTATTTAATTTATTCTTGGCTAGTAAAACAAAGCCTGAAGCAACCAAATTAATTATCAATATGATGAGGAGCCTTGAAAAGACTGGAAAGTCTTCTGACATCATGGTGTTTTAAGAAGGCAAAGCACTAAGGTAGCCATGACCTTGTCAGTCAGATAAAAGAAAAAGTTAATGAATATTTATGGACAAGTTGCCATAAATTCAGCTAAAATCATACTTGTTCTTTATTTTGCCATCATAAAATGAGTTTCTTTGTCTATTTATTTAAAAAGACAAAAGAGCCCTGGCCGGTTTGGCTCAGCGGTTAGAGCGTAGGCCTGTGGTCCAGAGAGACCCAGGTTCGGTTCCCGCTAAGGGCACGTACCTCAGTTGCAGTTTGTCCCCGGCCCTGGTTGGGTCGTGTGGGTGGCAACCAAATGTGTCCCTTTCACGTCGATGTTTTTCTCTCTCTCTCTCCCTCCCACTCTATCTGAACAAAAAATGGAAAAATGTCCTCAGGTGAGGACAGAAAAAAAAAAGGACAAAGAGTGGTTTTGTAATACTGAAAGGGCTGTTTTCAATAATTCTAACTACTAACTTGTAAACTTAAAAGATCAAAGTGCCTGATTAAAAAGAAAAAAACAAACAAAACACACCTTTGTGGAACTATTTGTTGTAGAAAACTGTGTTTGTCAGGGAAAACTGACTTTACACACAATCTTATCATCTGAATCACAGTCTTGTAATAATCTACTTTTTTTTTTTAAATTATAATTCTTCTCGATGTGACTCAATTTTACTTGTTAGAAAGCATAAAGACTCTTTGTCTTGGCTTTCTCTCTACAGGCTTGCTTGTAATAAATCTTATAATTCTAACATGTTCACTTCTAAAACGTAATACAAATTTGAGTACTCCCTGTCAGTACCATCCGGTCTCTCTAGCTTTAAAGCCAGATAGCACTTTCCCCAATTTTTCTAGATAAACTAGCTCTTTATTTGTATACTCTGCATCCTGTTGGACTAGAATTTGCTTTTCTTTAAGAAACAAAAAAGCAAACAGGAATGTGTAAAAAGCTGCAAAGTAATTAAGCTGTGAACAAACCTAAAATAAAATTTTAAAATGGAGTGTCAAGCTCATTCCATCAATCTGAAAAGAAGGTTAGGGTTGGGACGGATTCAGAATCATAAACTTTTCTTTGGTCACTAATATTAGAACTGATGAAGTAAATTAAGATTTTTAAGATATAAGTATGAAAGTTTTTTTTTGTTTTTTTTTATCCTCACCCGAGGACATTTTTCCATCTTTTGTACAGACAGAGTGGGAGGGAGAGAGAGGAAGAGAGAGAGAGGGAAACATCAATGTGAAAGGGACACATCGAGTGGCCGCCACCCGCACGACCAACCAGGGCTGGGGACAAACTGCAACCAAGGTACGTGCCCTTAGCGGGAACCGAACCCGGGTCTCTCCGGACTGCAGGCGGACGCTCTAACCGCTGAGCCAAACTGGCCAGGGCTTAGATATAAGTATGAAAGTTTTAAGTGTTAATCACCAACACCCACCCCAAAATAAAAACTATGCAGTTTAGCCTAGAAAGCTGAGAGAACTTCAAGAATACAAATTCTTATTTCCCTATTCCCCCAAAACCAATAAGGATCACAAACCTAACTATTAATATGTGTAATCCCACCCTGGCTGGTTTGACTCAGCAATCAGAGCGTCGTCAGCCCGTGGACCAGAGAGAACCGGGTTCGTTTCCCGCTAAGGGCACATACCTCGGTTGTAGTTTGTCCCTGGCCCTGGTTGGAGTTGTGTGGGTGGCAACCACTCGATGTGTCTCTCTCACGTCAATGTTTCTCTCTCGTCGATGTTTCTCTCTCTCTTCCTCCCTCTCTCCCTCCCACTCTATCTGAAGATAAATGCAAAAATGTCGAGGATTAAAAAAAAAAAAGGACTTTTAATTAAAGAAATATAGAAAGCATTAATGTATGTTTTTAAAAATAAGTGTCCTTTTCCTACAGTGGAAGGCATAAAGTGGATACTCAAAACAGAAAACATGCTACTCTGATGACAATGAAGTCTATAAATTAGCCTAGAGTGACGCAGCTCCAGTTTTACTCCTTACCCAACAGCGGTAATTCTGCATCAGATTTAGCCTCACGGCCTGGATACTGCCATCATAACAGCCAGTATAGATCTAGAGAAAGAGGTTTATCATATCAGACCAATACACACACACACACACACACACACACCAAAAAAAACTGCAAAACATCCTCAACATAAGAGTCAAAAGCTACTTGTAGCAACTTAAAAAAACACAAAATAAACCAAAACCAGCCCCATGGTACTACAATGGGAAAATATCCTCTAAAATCTTCTATACTAGACTCGAAGCTGTGCTCCTTAGAGAACCACTCTTGCAACACTGGCCGGCAGCAAAAACGGCAGGGTTCAGAGGCACCCACCTACAATTTAACTGGCGAACTGGCGTAGCTCTGCCTTCCACTGGGCATTACGTATTAGGCATCTATATTTCATTGGAATACAGGGTTCTACTGCTCAGAGTCTGAAAAACATGCATTCTTGTTCAACCTCATAATTTAAAAAATAAAATAAATCAAGGATTAGCAGGGTTAAGTGAGTTAGTCTCTACTTTTAGGTCTGCTATAACTATGCCACACTGGCAAACCTCTTGACTGTACTCCAATATTCTGTTCACATCACATTGTCTCTGGAAAAAGCACCAATCTTTTTTTTTTTAAATATCTTAAATTTATCTTCTAGTCAATGGTATATTTGATTTTTATTGTTATTATTTTAGTTATTTAGAAAATTAAATACTCGACAATATTACTGCATTACATCTTGATAATATGCCAAGAGACAGAAAGGCAATCAGTAATGAGGCTTATCAGAAACAGATGTCATTTGGAAGTGACAAGTAGTAATATTATTATCAGTTTGTAGAATTTTTAGTAATTATATTCAAAGGCAAATATGTGACATGGCAAACAATACTCACCATACTTTTATGGATGGTCATACACATAATCATGTCTTTGTGTCCTCCATAAACTTGCAGTCGATCATGGGACTTAGGTGGAGGGAAAAAAACAAAAAGAGAAATAAGGTTATTTACACCTTGTATTTTGTACGAATAGTCCCTGGAGGTCTTTGGCAGGTTTTGTTTTTTTAAATCCTCACCCAAAGACATTTTTGCATTTATATTCAGATAGAGTGGGAGGAAGAGAGAGAGAGAAACATCTATGTGATAGAGACACATTGAGTGGTTGCCACCCACAGGACCCCAACCAGGGCCGGGGACAAACTGCAACCGAGGTACATGCCCTTAGCGGGAACTGAACCTGGGACTCTCTGGTCCACAGGTCAACATTCTAACTGCTGAGCCGAACCAGCCAGGCTGGTCTTTGGCAGGTTTTAAACTACACCTGAGGCACCAAACTGGAGCATCAGTAGCATTGTTTATTAATCCTCAACCAAAAATATGAGTTTTAAAATTGATTTTTAGAGAGAGAGAGAGGATGAAAGAGAGAGAGAAACATCTATCAACTGCCTCCCATATGTGCTCCGATCGGAAATCAAACCCACAACCTAGGTATGTGCCCTGATGGGGAACTGAACCCACAACGCTTTGGTGTATGTGATGACACCCCAACCAACTGAGCCACCTGGCCAAACCTCAGTAGCATTTTAATAGAAATATAATCTAATGACAATCTTTCTAATAAGCCCCTCCTCAAGGGAGGAGCTGGTAATTGGAAATAATACAATCAATATCTGTGAAGTTCAAAGTTACCAACCTGAAATTGCATATAAGGAGAACTAGATGGGTTTTAGAGACTACAGTAGCTGTCCAGAAACTATTTAAATTTTGACACCTATGGCCCTGGCCGGTTTGGCTCAGCGGTTAGAGCGTTGACCTGCAGTCCTGAGAGACCCGGGTTCGGTTCCCGCTAAGGGCACGTGCCTCGGTTGCAGTTTGTCCCCGGCTCTGGTCAGTCGTGAGGGTGGCAGCCACTCGATGTGTTCCTTTCACGTCGATGTTTCTCTCTCTCTCTCTGTTCCTCTCTCCCCCTCCTACTCTACCTGAACAAAACCTGGGAAAATGTTCTCGGGTGAGGATAATAATAAAAAAAAAAAAAAATTTAAATTTTGACACCTATGAGCCTGACCATAACTCAGAGCATGTTTCTGACAGCACAGTCCACAAATCAGCTGCTTCATAATTACCTAGAGTATTTGTGAAGAATGCAGATTCCTGGATCCCAACCCAACCTTACTGTATTAAAAAGTCAACATTAAACCCAAATAGACAATCTCCCCAAATCATTCAAATAAAATACTGGATCTATATTCTACCTGTAATTCATAGACACGAACAAATTTATCCAGGCAAGCAGTCACCATCACTTTTCCTAGGATAGTCACCACGGTCACAGCATGATTGTGACCTTTATAGATCCGCACAAGCTCACCGGTCTGCATCAGAAGAGAGATAAGAGTCACTAGAATTTCCAGATAGCTTCCTACTTTGAGATTTATGATTCTATAATTCTAAAAGTCATAATTCTGAGGCTAGTTGCACAACCACGTAGCTGTATTAATTCTGAGAGCTGAAGTACTCTCACAAGCATTTGTTACCTACGCAAAATATATATTCTGATGGAGAGTACAGTTGACCCTTGAACAATGCAGGGGTCCATATGCAGTTGAAAATCAACATATAACTCTTGACTCTCCCAAAACTTAAGTTGTCCCTCAATATCTATGGAAGAATGGTTCTAGGACCACACCGCCAGCCCCCTGCAGATACACAAATCCTAGCATGCTTAAGTCCCCGATATAAAATGTCACAGAACAATGCATGCAGTCAGTCCTCTGAATCCACAGATTCACAATCACAGATCAAAACAGTACAAGTATTCACAGGAAAAACTCCACATATATATGAACTTGAGCAGTCCAAACCTGTTTTGTCCAAGTGTCAACTATATTGTCACTTTTAACATTTCACTGGATCCGGGTAAGTCCCTGAGGACTTGGATTATTCCCAGGTTTACAGACCAGAAACTGGGCTTCAAAGAGCTGCCTCTATGACCTGAGTAGAGTCTCTTGGCTGTTTTTATTGCTTCTATTTTGAACTACATGTCATATCCACTTTCTTAGTGCCTCAGGTGTTCAATTTATCTCAAATTTAAATGTGGCATTCAAACTAAACCTTACATAAATGTTGAGCCTGTCCCCTATTAAAAATGTAGATGAGGCCAGAATTTCCAGGGTGTTCAGTATTATCTAAGATCTTATGCATAGGGATTACTATTAAGCCTCTCACTGAAAAAGGGGCTTAATTTAAATTTTAAGAGATCTGATGAATCCTTCAAGCTTTAACCACCACTCTATTAAAGATTTCTTTACACCAACAGGGCTTACATGAATATTGTGGGCATGGACTGACTGATCACTGGAACCACTGAACACAAGGTCATTCACCACCTTAAAGAAAAAAATTCAGTGAGTTAGATTTGGTACAAGGTTCTGAGTTTCCTCTGTAACTTGTAATGCACACTGGTGAATTCTAATTTTGATGAGCATAAACTAGGTATAAAATAAGTTTCACAGAGAAGTTTTCTGAACTGAAACTTATGTCCTACCACCAGGTACTCTGATGAATTGACAATGTACTATTGGGTTTGTTAACTCTTCAGAATGATTATGAAGTAGCCTAAAAAGGCATTAGAGTATATCTATATTCTACAGTAAAATACACTTTTATTGTTTCTAAATTAACATATTAAAAAATAGTGCATCCCTTGGTGACCCAGGCCTAAAGAAAAGGATTGTAACCTCTTTTCAAGATGACTATGTTCTAATTAAGGCATTAGACAACATGGAAAATGTCATTCAAACCGTTCTATTTGTGCCAGACAACTAGCTCCTGTTCTCTTGCACTGTACTTGCCTTCATGCAAAGAATAGTTTTGCTGTGGCCCTCCAGAGTTCTGAGGAGGAGTCCATTCCGTGCATCACGTACACTGATGGTACAGTCATAAGACCCCACAACCAGCAGCTTTCGGGCACCTTCCTGAGCTGTGGCAAGACAGCTAACTGCCCGAGGGCCATGGCATTCAAAGATTTCAAGTTGTTTGTTGTTCTGAAAAGTAAGTCACCATTATATGAAGTAAAGGCAGCTTAGCTGGTAAACCTCAAAATCAACTAACCCAAATCACTACCTTTACATAAACTCTAAATCCTATTACCTGTACTTAAGTTCTCACATGCATTCCTCTATCTTTAACTTCCCACCTCTGCCATTCCCATTCCAACTCTCTGTGTTCACGACTCCCTCCACCCCCATTCCACGGGAACAAACTCTCCCCTTATGAACTCATTTCTAACTTCAACCCACAGTATCTTCTCTGGAGTTTTCCAACCATTAAAGACTATTTGAATTTCTTGTCACCTTCTTACCCTTGAAGTCTTGCTCCTAACTTCCATCTACCTTTTATAACATTAAGCTCATAAAAGAGAAGAGAATTAGGTAATTATCAAATTTTAGTCATTTAAATATTTTAAATTTCTTCTTTATTTCTATTGCCCTAACCAAATCTAATCTAGACTGTTAACTCTTCATATCTGGAATACAAAAACCTACACTAATTACCTTGCTGTGATCTATTCCTATCAAGTGAACCAAATAACTTGGCACTTGAGTAAATGTACCAACTTCTTAAAGACAGAAACCATGATGTATTTCATTGCATCTCTTATATGAATGATACTATCATTGTGTATAACATAGTGAACATTCTAACATGTCTAATACACTGTTAAAAGATAACCAGATGACCTTGAGATTATAGTGCTACAATATATTAGTAACCAAACCTACCAATTCCTCTTCGATTACATTTCTTACCCATTTTCTTCTCTTCATCCTTAGTCTAACCTTTCATGTGAGCTTCCATTAGAAAGCCTCCTAAATGGTCTCCCTGCCTCTACTATTACCAATATTTCCCAATCTCATCAACTCCAGAGCGACTTTTTCTAAGATACAAATGGATCATGTCTCTCATATGTTGAAGCCTAAAATATGAAGTCCAACTTCATTAGCAATGCACACAGGGCCATCAAGAACTGGTCCCTATTCATTTCCTAAGCCTCATCCTGGGGCCTAGCACATAACATGCTCAATAAAGGTTTGCTCAACAAATGAATTTATCTTTGAGTTAGGAATGAATGAGGCCACATGGACATGAAGGCAAACCTTCAACTTAGTTCACTTTACAGAATAGGCTACCCTCATGAAACCCTAAATCAGTTCCAAACCACATCAATGTCATACTCAAAAAAATTTAAGTTCATTTTCCAGAGTGTCATTCCTAAAAATGAGACAGACTAGTTTAACCTGTGACTCATTATTTGGCTCCAAATCGTCAGGCTTGGTTTAACTTAGTAGAGTTACATTTTGGTCCTGGCACACTTGGGTCTGTACAAACAGAATGCAGGATCTTGTTTCACTTATACCCGAAGATAAAGGTCTTTGAGTAGTGGTTAATTCTGTTGCTTTCTCACATAAGAAAATAGAAAAATGTCTTTTTTCCACTTCTTCCCCCACAATCTTCCACTTCTTTCCCCACACACTCACACTATCTTCAAGTGGCATGGGGATTCAGCCTTCTCTCCCCAACCACTAACCTCTATGTTGAAGGTGACCACAGTGCCATTTGCTAGTCCTGCATAGAGGATTCGCCATCTACTGTGAAGGCAGAGGACGCGGTCTTCCAGCTGTAACTGCTCCACACACTCTCGCGTCTGATAAAAGTACACAATACCCAATCAGCAAAGGTTATGCAAGCAAATGTGAAACCTATCCTTCTGAAAGCAGAGTATAAAATGATTTTATGAGGAGGAAAAAGCAGTATCATCTATTTTGTAGAAGACCATCTTAGATTTCTTTTCTCCTTTGAAATATGTGGCCAAACTCTCAAGCTGTAGGTTATATTAAAAACAAATATAAATTCTATGTTACCCATATTTCTAATTTGAAATGTAGAAATTCTTCAAAGGGCACTATGAAATGGGTATTAGCCTCTTAAATTAAGTAGCCAAAGATAAAGCTGCACGTGACATCTAAAAGGAAAATAAAAATTATAGTTGTATACATAACTGCATTAATCAAATATGTGTTTTCCTGCAATTAATTCTATTTTAATAGCTCCCAAGTGTCTCCTTCAAACCAGTGTCAGATTAGTTGATCCATAATTATCTGAGCTTTTAAAATACAGAGAACTCCAACTTTCACCTCCCATCCCTGGATTCTAATTCAGTAGGCTCCAGAATATGTACTTTTTCTTTTTAATTTCCTTATTCTGATGCATATCCAGGTTAAATAAGCACTGTTTAATCTGACCTTCAAGAAACAATTTCCAAAAATTTCCAGAGCTGGGTCATATTAGCAAATTTAATTTCCTAGAACCTAGAATAGGGCCAGTGACATAGTACGTGATCAAGATTTGTTGTTAACGATACCAAGCAACTAAATGCCCAACTGTAGCTCTGAAAACAGGTTTAGACAGAGATGTTCAAATTAAGATAGCTATAAGTGGGTAGGATGTGACAAGCTGTGGACAGAATGACAAAAGCTGCAGGCTGTCAAAGCCCTGTTCTCTTCTCCCAACCTTCTTTCATACCTAAAAGAGTCAGTCTTTAAAATTGTTCAATTTCCCCCATAAAATTACAAATATAAACCCCACATTTTGAAATTATAAAATAAAAAGACAGTGAATATGCCCAAATGTTAAGACTCATGTTGCATCTGGTTAACTCAAGTGAGATCTTTTTGTAATTTTATAGAGTAAATTGAATATCATACAATGATTTAAGAAAAAAAAAAAAAAGAACAACTGGCACAGACAACAATATACATGAACTTCAGATATTATGGTAAGCTAAGGTAGGCATGAAAGAATACATGCAGTATTATTTAGATGAAGTTCAAGCACAAACTCTATAATGATAGAAGCAAAAGAAAAATGGGAAGAATGAAGCATGTGTCTCAATGTCTTCACTCTACATAGTAAATACATTCAAAGCAGTTCAATATTATCACTTTTGATTTCTCTGGACCCACTTACCTTAACATTATAGCAGCGAATGGTGTGATCACTGGAACCAGTGTATAGGGCAGCATTCTTCCCAGAGGTTTGAGTAACCAGGAGGCAGTTCACTTTGGAAGTATGGCCCTCAAAGACACCAATGCACTTCCGACTCTAAAGTCAAGCACAGAGCAGATTATTATTGTGGATATAGCAGGATCAGACAATGCATTTCCTCAACAAAAAGATGCTAAAACGTAACAGTTCACTGCTGTATCCTCAGTGCCTAGAAAAGTGCCTGGTATACAAAAAGTGTTCAGTAAATATCTGATCAATGAATACCCAGCAAACGGTCATGTGTATTAAGGTACTTCCAACTATATTAGCTAAGTCATATAAAAAATACTTAGGGCAATTCACTATAAGGTAGATTAGAATTTTAATGTCTAGGGCAAGGCTCTCCAACATATAGACCAAAGATCTAGCAAATCTAAACTGTAGCTAATTACCTAGATAAGTTCCTGCATTTGATTGGTAGCTTATGAAAATGCTCCATAATATTTCAAGACATGTCAGATGTCACCACAGGACCTTGTGGTCCAGGTGTGGTTTCACAAGGGGACATTCTAATAGTTACCGGTGTTATCTCTGAGATCTATTTAGAACATACAGATACACATATACCTACCTTACACTCACACTTCCTGGTACCATTGCTTCCTTCCTTCAGTCATCCCTTTTGCCCCTCCCATTATTAGGCTAAAGGAACCTATACAGTTACTACCTATAGCAAACAACATTTCCTTGGTCCATCATCTAACCTTTTATTTTCAAAGACTTCGGCAATTTCAAATACCTTCACGATGTGTGTTCGGACAAGATATTGTTCTAAAGTTTCTTGGCTGACATTGTGGATAAACAGAATTAGTCTGACATACACCAAATTCAAAACTCAAAAGTTCATTCTATGAAAATTCAGAGTAATGAGCATCAGGTTATTTACTAAGTGTGTGTAGTGGAAGATTGTTGCTCTCCTTAATAAGTTGCACATTAATCAACTGTCAGGGAAAATTCCTCCTCTAATACTTCCCCAATATTCATTTTACTCCTTCTCTATTATATAGCAGCCATGCGACTGACCTCATCACCAACTCCAGGGTTGGAATCTGACTAGCTCGAGTCTATTGTTGTAATCCCACCTCCCTTTGGCAAGTGACTATTCAAGGAATAATGCATGAGACCCTTATTTGGTGATGGGAGGGAAAAGAAACCTCAGAGGCTCTTGGCATCTATTCGTGAGCAGGAGGAGAACTACCTTAAGGAAGAGGTGATACAAAGAAGGCACAGTGGAGAGACAGAATAAAATCAAGTTCCCAGTGACCCTGTTGAATAGCTGGATCAACTTTATCTAAAGTTAATCTAAAGGCCACCCCATCTCTAGATAGCAAATAAATTCCCCTATTATTGAGTTGGAGTTTCTAAAACCTGCAACTACCAAAAATATTCAAATTGTTGTATCAACGTACCACCAGATTATAAGCTCGCACAGTTTTATCTGCTGAACAGGTATACAGTAAGTTCCCAAATATCTGAATTGCATTCACTGCAGCTTGGTGCCCCTCAAAACTCCCTTCTGTGGGCTCATCATCATCTCCTGGCTCTGAAGATATTTCTAGAAAACAAGAGTATGTTTCAGAGACATGTCTGCTAAGATACTAAAACATTAAAACCATTACATCGGATGGTTTTACAGTGGTCCCTGGATTCTCCTTAAAGCCTAGTTCCCCTCACAAAATACCACATTTTTCATTAAGATCTTCATTATGAAAATTTCATAGTAAGAGAAGATAGGGAAGACCTTTCACTTAAGAAAATGATACTTATACAATGAATTTTTGAGTGATAACTGGAAGATACTAAATATCACATACAGTTATTTTGTTGAGCAAGGCATTATTTTTTAAGAAGGTCTGTCTCAAAGCAAAAATCTCTAGAGCCAATGAAACCTTAGTACTCATTAACTGAATAGATAAGAGAGCCAGGTAAGAGAGACGAGCAAGAAACTAAAAGGCCAGATCTGAGGATTTAGGAATACCATAACTGCTGCTCAAAGCAACCCTCTTGGTGATAACTCCTGCCTCCTATTCTGTAAGCATATCTAAACCCTGGCTCTAACATTTACAAGCCCTTTTCTCCATGGTTAATTTAAATAAAATGGAACAGCCAAATACCTGAAGAGTTCTTTGATCCTTTTAGGGAGGAGATCACGGTCTGAGTTTCTGCCACACTACAAAACAATAGCAAAAGTTTTCTTAGCATCTGTGTGAACAGGACAGATAAAAGTTAAATTTTTCTGACTCAAAGTATTGTTCTAACCAATGGGCAAAGTAGCAATACTATGAAATCATTTTTCTATCTAAAATTTCTATATGAAAGGAAATAAAAGTACAGTAAATATTTACAACACAAATGAGAAAGCAGAAAATCCCCATTGCCAAGGTTTGAGTCTTCCACATATATAATACTACTGATTTTCTATCAATTTGATTCTTTTAAAAATTCTGAGTCATAACAAAAAATTCTATTTTTTAAGAAAAGAAGAATGGTGAAAGCTGTTCTGATTGGACCAATAGAACATCCCTACCTTACAGGGATACCATCTTTATAGCGAGTGCCAATCTCACTGGTAGAGCTAACTTCATCACAACCAGAACGAGAAGTTTCTAACGAGTTTTGTTCTGTGCAGTTCCAAATATCCTTCTTAGATGGGCTGTCTGGTTTCTCTTCTCCAGATTCAGAAGAATCAATGGCTACTACTTCTAACTGAGGATTAGGAATTTCTAGGACTTCCAGAGAGGAATCGCTATCTGGCTCATCTCTGACACTCTCTTGTTCTGGGCCAGTTCTGCTATCTTCCCAGGTGGAGGTTGTTACTTTCCCTCCTTTAGTTGACTTTCCAGTTTTTACTTTCCTCACAGGTTTAGCAGTAAACACATCCTGTTCAGTGTCGCTGTTCTCAGGAACATGGGCAGCTCGCAGAGTTTTCTTCTTCCTAAGTTTTTTCTTTTTCTTGTTTCCCCTAGTTTCAGCTGATGTCAGAGTAGACTCTGCTTGTTCAGGCTGGTCAGCTGGAGAGTGGGGCTCCTTCTCTAACGGGGTTTCTGAAGCAAAGAACAATCCTGGAAAAGAACAGCTACAGGCTTCAGACCCACTATTGCCTTTGGTTGGCTCTTCACCTTCTTTATTTATGCTAGGAAGACCAACTGATTGGGAATAAAGAGCATTTTCTTTGTTTCTGGTATTTCCTTGCTCCATGGAAAACTTCAGTTCTTGGCTAGGCTCATGGAAACCTTCTGTTAGCTCTGATAAGGACAATGGTGCAGTGATGACTGGATCAACTGTGCAGCGGTCACCGATCTCTCCTGAACAGAGAAGAAAAAATTACTGCATCTTTTTTTTGTGTCTGCTATTTTTAGCCATAAATTGCAATTATTTGTTACTGACTGAATCTCTAACAAATAATGACATTTCAATGATATTTTAACTAAACCATAGCTTTTAAAGCTGTTATCTCAGCCCGCAACTTCCCATAACCGACACACGTTTCTATGACAGCACTTAGTACACTTTGCCTTGCATTAATCTCACAAATAACATACGTCTTGTACCCTACAAAAGGTCTTTATGGGCAGGAATTATTTCTATCAATCTTTTTTCTTTGTTTCTTATTTGAAATGTTCACATATTGAACACTGTGTTTCATTCTTAGTAGACATTTAAGTACCTACTGAGCTAAGTGCATTCACCTTCATTTCTTCTAAATTTTCACTATGCATTTAACCTGTACATCATCCTGTTTAATAAAAAGTCAGCTAACTTAAAAATGTCTATTTTCTTTGACTTAGTTATTTCATGTCTACAAATGTAAACTGATGAAATAATCACAGACATACTCAAAGATATATACAACATAATGTTAGAATACTAAAAAAAGGAAAAAATCTAAACATTCAAAGGAGATTATATAAATTATTGCACATGAAGATTATAATGCAACTTCTCAAATTTATGCAACTAGTGAAATAAAATATTTTAGATAAATTATTTTTATGACACAGGGAAATGATCATGACACATTAAGTGGAAAAAAAGCCAGGTTATACAGACTATGATTTGTCCTTTGTATAAAGTCTACATGTAAACACAAACATGTAAAACTTGAAAAAAGGCTGAGCCCTGGCTGGTGTGGCTCAGTTGGTTGAGTGTTGTCCCATGCACTGAATGGTGGCCAGTTGGATTCCTAGTTAGGGCACACACCTAGGTTGTGGGTTCGGCCCCCAGGTCAGGGTGCAAGTGTGAGAGGCAACCAATGTTTCTCACATCAACGTTTTTCTCTCTCACATCAATGTTTCTCTCCTCCTCCCTCTCTCTAAAATCAACAAAAACATATTTTTAAAAAATACTTCCCTACTCTGATATAAAAAAAGACAAATAATATATAACATATCTAGATTTTTAATTTCCCAATTATTAACAATGAACATAAATTAGTTCTTTTTCTTAATTTTTAAAAATTGATTTTAGAGAGAGAAGAAGGGAGATGGAGAAAGAGAAACATTGATGAGAGAGAAATGTCAATCAGCCACCTCTGACACACCCCTAAATGGGGATTGAGCCCACAACCTGGGCATGTGCCCTGACTGGGAACCAAACCCGTGACCTCTTGGTGCATGGGACAAAGCTCAACCAAGCCACACCAGCCAGGGCAACATAAATTAGTTTTGCAATCAGGAACAGAAATCTAATAAAAGCTATTTTTTAAAAAGTTACTAGATTGCTTCATTACTCGTTTTTTAAAGAAAATACTAAATATCCACATAAAAGTAACAAAATCCAATATGAAAGATAATATATATTTGACACAAATATCTAGATTAGTGTTGCAACAGGTAACAAAATCTAGAGCAATTCTTCAGACTTTTTGTTTTGGCTCAAGAAATCACAAAATGCCAGTCTGCTTAATTATTAATTAAGTACCATTGTGGTTAGAAAACTACTATAATTTTAAGTTGCTCAGAAGTTATTCTCAAATGGTAAACAGGTGAGTATTATTTTATGTAAAGACTAAAAACGTTGGCTATTTCTCAAAACCACCCAAGTTCCTATAAGATGATCCCAAACCCAAGAGCCCCTTCTGCTTTTCATCATGGCCACCTGCCTTTCAGGCTTATATTAATTCTTGTATTTTAGATGATAAAGACAGTTAAGTGCTGAGAAATTCAGAGGACATATCTTATTTAGAAAATTGACTGAACAAAATCAACCTCATTTATCTCCCCAAAACTATATAATTCTGCACCAATTCTAATAAATGGAACCTTTTAGTTGCTAATACAAAATCAAATTAGTAATTCTATATTAGAGAAAACTAAGGAAGTTACTGATATTTAAATAATTCTTCCAAATGAGGAAAAACCTCCAGAAAAATTAATTTTAACGACTTCAGTTTAATGGGCAAGTATAACTTTACATTACTGATATAAAATTGCCCTAGACCCATTACAGAGTTGCCCTTAAACCAGAGAAAAGTTTACATACTATTATCTTGCAGTAATTCCTTGGAGACATTGCATGAAGAGCCTTGTGACAAAGCATTCACATTCTCATCTTGTTCAGAAGACATAGGTTCTTGTTTAATCTGGATTGATGAGTCTGGAGCAGGAACACTGCCATGGGCTTGGAACGTAGGAGATGTGGTTACTTGGAAAGGGACTCCTGTGGACGATGGAGACACATGGGAAGAGGAAGGCTCCAGAAAAACTGGGAAAAAGGGAGTAGGCAGCAGCGTGGCATCGGCAGATGTTTGAGACCTACTGCTCCTTTGTTCTCGTGTAAGGCTACAGGGAACCTGGTATGGGCGTTCGGAAGGTTCATATGTTTCTGGAATAGAAAATATACATATATACAAATGCAAAAATGTTATCTGAAAAGTCACTTGTTTCTTAGCCATTGTGTCTTTTTAAAAATTATAAGAGAATTTAAAGTCCCTCATAATTCTTAAAAATAGACTGTCATATATCTATACAACCACCAAGGATACAGACAGAACAGCCATTAATAATCTAATTTTTCAGATTTTAAGTGACTTATCCAAAGTCATATAGATCCTAATGGAAAAGCCAAGATTTGAAACCAGCTGTTTTGATTCCTAACCCAAGGATCCTTCTGTAACATACTGTCTCCACTGCTAAGCATTTTGGGGATGTACAGTCTCATAGGACTTTCAATAGAAGAATGAAACCAGAGAGACATGAAAGAATCATATGACTTTTTAATGACTACTTTAATTCCCCTCTATAGAGAAAAAAAAGTAACAAGCCACAGAAGGCCCAATCTATCACACTCTCTCTAAATACCTTGTAATCCCTGCAGAATTTGTATTCTATGGGTCCTCAGTGCACTCATCTCCACAGTTATCTAAAAATAAAGTATTTGGTTATAAATTTTCAAATCCAACTTCAGAGATGATCCATTCTCATTAAATGTTCCATCTGCTGTTACCTGCTGCTTGAGCATAAGTAGCCTCTGAACTTCAACGTAAGCTGTCTGAAGGGCTGCACGGGCTTGCAGAAGGTTGTTATCCATGCACTGCAATGACTTGCTTAGTTCTTCCTCCCTTAAAGAAATATTCAGCAGCTGGTCAACCTGAGAACGTTCTGCCAAAAGAAACCATAACCTTGGTTTAATACTGGAGACTTCTCTTAAATATTTAATAATACAGCTCCTCAGAAGATGGAACTATATCATTTATCTAGGATAAACTTTTATTTTTCTCCCCAACAGGTACTGGAGACTGATCAAATCTCACAAATCATATAGGTAAGCCTGATACTGTCAGAGCTAGAAACCAAAGTGAGTGCTGGTAAGGTGAAGGTGCCCAACGGTGTAAGAGGACCACCACGTCGTACCATCTTACCTGACAACCATTTTCCACCACTACCCTTCCAGAGACATCTTTGTTCCAAGCAAATCAACTGTTGTAGTTCCTTTTCTTCCTTTAACTACCACCCTCTTCACCCAGGACTTTTGCTTAGATTGGGCCCCAGACATATTGTTCTGTTTACACTCTCCTCCCAATCCATATTTTTCTAGTCTGTTAGTTAACAGTTATCTTTTTTAGAGAAGTCTTCTGAAGGACATATAGCTTTGAAATAGTACACTTAAGCCCTGGCCGGTTTGGCTCAGTGGTTAGAGTGTTGGCCTGAGGACTGGAGAGTCTCGGGTTCGGTTGCCACTAAGAGCACGTACCTCGGCAGTTTGTCCCCAGCCCCAGTTGGGGTTGTATGGGTGGCAGCCATTCGATGTGTTTCTCTCACATAAATGGTTTTCTCTCTCTCCCTCTTCTGCTCTATCCAAAGATGAATGCAAAAAAAATGTCCTTGGGTGAGGATTAAAAAAACAAAAAAAATAGTACACTTAAGTTACTTTAAATAAAATGTTTTATTGCCCTAGTCGGTTTGGCCCGAGGACCGAAGGGTGGCAGGTTCGATCCCAGGCCCCAGTCAGGGTTGTGCAGAAGACAACTAATCGATGAGTCTCTCCCACAATGATGTTTTTCTTCCTCCTTCCCTTCCACTCTATCTGAAGAATCAATGGAAAAATATCCTCAGGTGAGGATTAACAACAACAAAATAATGTTCTATTATGTGTATTTGTCATCTTTTGTCTCTTTCCCATTCAATATGCCAGAGCCTCTTTCCTAAACTCCAGAACCATATATCCAACTACCAACTTGATCTATCTCTACCTAGATGTCTCTAAGGTCCTTTAATTCAAAGGATACAAAAGGGAACTTATCTTCCTCTACTCTCAACGTGCTCTTCTCATGGAGTTTTCTAGCTCTACAAATGATATCATCATCCACAGTTGCCCCAGCTAGAAACTGGGGTCATCCTTGACTCCTACCTTACACGTTATTTCCAATCACCCAAGGCTCATCCCATCACTTCTTTTTTTTTTTTTTAATCCTCACCCGAGGACATTTTTCCATTTTTTGTTCAGGTAGAGTGGGAGGGAGAGAGAGGAACAGAGAGAGAGAGAGAAACATCGATGCGAAAGGAACACATCGAGTGGCTGCCACCCACACAACCGACCAGGGCCGGGGACAAACTGCAACCGAGGTACGCGCCCTTAGCGGGAACCGAACCCGGGTCTCTCAGGACCGCAGGCCGACGCTCTAACCGCTGAGCCAAACTGGCCAGGGCCCATCATTTCTTTGTTCTTATACTAGATCAGGGTTAGATTCAGTGGAAAGCAAGTGTTGTAGAAGCATATCAGTCAGGAAGCCATGTTAATAACATCTCTCCTAATTCACATGAGTAAAGCAGCCAAGATGCCTCAAAAATGGAGACTACAAGAAATGTCTAGGACTTCTGGTCAAGATGGCATCGTAGGTAAAAGCGGTATCGAGTCCTCCCACAACCACATCAAAGTTACAACTAAACTACAGAGCAACCATCATTCAAAACCGCCTGAAGTCAAGCTGAATTGAAGTCCTACAACTACGGAATTGAAGGAGCAGCCACGTCGAGATTGGTAGAAGGGGCGAAGGTGGACAGGCTGGTCCCACACCCATGTGTGGTGAATAAAAATCAGGAGGGAGCCCTGGTTGGGGTGGCTCAGCAGTTAGAGCACTGGCCTGAGGTCCAGAGAGACCTGGGTTTGGTTCCCACTAAGGCCACGTACCTCGGTTGCAGTTTGTCCCTGGCCCTGGTTGGGTCGTGAGGGAGGCAGCCACTTGATGTGTTCCTTTCACGTCGATGTTTTTCTCTCTCTCTTTCTCTCTTCCTCTCTCTCCCTCCCACTCTATCCGAACAAAAAATGGAAAAATGTCCTTGGGTAAGGATTAAAAAAAAAAAAAAATCAGGAGGGATACCTCGGCTGGGAAAGTCCTCTCTGAAGACTGAGGGGGTCCCCGTCCCACACCAGGTGCAGGTGCCCTGCTCAGGGTTCCAAGGCCAGGAAGAGAATCCTCATAACTTCTGGCTGGAAAAACCAGCGGGAACTGAGGCTCAGGGAGGCTGAGGCAGCTGGAGCCTCAGGCAGCTCCTCTTAAAGGGCCCATGCATGGACTTATCCGATTCACTCCTTCTAAGCTTGGAAGGGAGGCAGCTCGAGGGGCGCCAGAGACATACAGGGAAGAACTGAGCTGTTTGGCACTGGAGCGAGGGCTGGAGAGGGGGCTTTCTCCAGGACAAACGTGCTGTCAGAGGCTTTTGTTGCTTTGGTGAGCCCTTCCCTGGGGCGGTAGACAGCCACCATATCTGGGACTCCAGCAACCTGGCTCACATTGCTAGCCCCGCCCTGGTGACTCCCTGAGGCCCCGACCCACCAACTTTCAGGCCCACCCAAGCCGTTGCTACTTGCTTAACCATAGGATTAGCCTGTCTTGGATCCTGCTTCAGGTTTTCCTAAATTCTTTCAAACAAGCAGCATCTGGTCTCAGCTAGCCCCATACCCTTCGTTAAATGATACATAGAAACAAACACAGGGAGGCAGTCAAAATGGGGAGACAAAGAAACAGGTCCCAAATGAAAGAGCAGAACAAAACCCCAGGAAAAGAACTAAGCAAAATGGAGATAAGCAACCTAACAGATGCTGAGTTCAAAATACTGCTTATAAGGATGCTCAAAGAACTTAGTGAGAACCTCAGCAAACTCAGTGAGGGCCTCAAGAGCATAAAAAAGGACCAGTCAAAAATGATGGATGCACAGTCAGAAATAAGGAGTCATTAACTGAAAGAAAGAATAATTTACACAGATTCAATAGTAGAGTACGTAAATCCAAGAAGCAAACCATTGATTTGGAATATAAGGAAGCAAAAAACGCCCAATCAGAACAGCAAAAAGAAAAAAGAATCCAAAAAAATGAGGATAGTGTAAGGAGCATCTGGGACAACTTCAAGCGTGCCAACATTCGCATCTTGGGGGTGCCAGAAAGAGAAGAGAGAGAACAAGAAATTGAAAACCTATTTGAAACAATAATGGCAGAAAACTTTCCTAACTTGGTGAAGGAAACAGACATACAAGCCCAGGAAGCACAGAGAGTCCCAAACAAGATGAACCCCAACAGGCCCACACCAAGACACATCATCATCAAAATGCAAAAGGTTCAAGACAAAGAGAATCTTAAAAGCAGCAAAAGGAAAGCAGTTAGTTACCTACAAGGGAATCCCCGTAAGACTGTCAGCTGATTTCTCAAAAGACCAGATGCAGGCCAGAAGGGGGTGGCAAGAAATATTCAGAGCAATAAAAAGCAAGAACCTACAACCAAGATTACTCTATTCTGCAGAGCAGTCATTTAGAATCGATGGCCATATGAAGAGTTTCCCAGATAAGAAAAAGGTAAAGGAGTTCATCACTACCAAACCATTATTATACAAAATGTTGAAGGGCCTTTTTGAAGAAAAGATAAAATATATGAACAAACAAGATGGCAATGAATACATATCTATCGACAATGGAATCTACAAACAAAATGAACAGGCAGAACAGAACCAGTCTTATAGACACAGAGTACATTTTGTTGGCTGCCAGATGGGAGGGGGGTTGGGGGAATGGGTGAAAAAGGTGAAGGGATTAAGAAGAACAAATTGGTTGCTAGACTGACAAACCTCAAAGGGAAGGGGGTTTGAGGGTAGGAAGAAATAAACCAAAAAACTCATGTGCATAACCAATGGACACAAACAGTGTGGGAAAAGGCAGGAGGGGGGCGGGAGTGGGGCAGAGGGGGTCAATGGGGGAAAAAATCAGGAACATCTGTAATATATTCAACAATAAAGATAAAACAAAATTAAAAAAAAAAAAAAGGCTAAATGACCTTGATAGACAAAAATTTACTGAAGGCCTATCACTCTTAATCCTATTAAAAAGGCCCAATAAGACTTTTTGATTTTACATTGAGTTCAATTTGTCCAAGCTATAGATTAACTTCAGCTTATAGGTCTATGTGGCACCGTGTCTTTCTTTTATAGCTACAACTGTACTAATTAGTAAGAAATCAAACTTTTCTATGTCACTAAGCAAGACAAAAATATAAAAAAATAATAATAAATGGGTAATCAGTATTTGATAACCACAAGGTATTCTGTGTCAAGTTGTAAAAAGGCTGAATTGCTAAAAGAACAATTTCCTTCTGCCAGAATATTCTGCACTATACCTTTCTTTCCTTTAATTTTTCTTCTTTTATTTTTCCTCTCAAGACTCGGAAGTTCAGGAGAAGATCCATCCTGAGGAAATACAGAAAATTAAATAAGATTAAATATGTAATGGCCATTATCCAAAAGCAGAAAAAAGAATCAGTTCTGAGACAGTTATACAATATTCTTCATTATTTCTACCATCTCTAATAGTAGTAAGTGCCTCATGCACATGGTATGAACTAAAATACTAGTTGAATAAATGTATATGATCTTTTAAAAAATCTAAGGTTAAGTACCTTCTTAGCATTCTAGAGGTGGTAAAGCCTACAGGGCATAGGCAAAGCATTTCAAATCTTGGTAAAGCAAGATATAGAAGTTTGAACAAAGCCAGTGATACATATGTCTGATTTCATCATGGCACAGTTTCTACTTTAAATTTCAGCAATAAAATCTTTACAATGAAAAGCTAAACAGTCTATTTAGATAAGCCCCAAGATATTAGCTTTGTCATAGGACAATCTCTCATCCAACAGTATCCACTACAGTGTCTAGCTCAAAGAGGGCAGAGATGGAATTTGAATCCATCTACAACCCAAGCCCTTATTTACTCTGCTGTATTATTTTGCCTCAGTACTAAAGGAAACAGTCCATTTTCTCCCAGTGCCAGATTCCAGGCTATATCACCATCACAATTCTTTCTTTTCAGAAGGGGTTCCTGAAAGGGTTAAGCAATACTGGCAACAGAGATGCCAGAGAAGAAGTGCTGTCAGTGAAGGAATGGATTCTGAAAGGCCAGGATGGATAAACAAAGTACAAAAGATAGAGTAACAGAGACTACAAATAGTTCTAAGACTATGCTCATATAGATGTACTCTATTAGAGTTAAAACTACCTTGGTGTTAAGCCTAAAACTCCTTGATCCAACAAGCCTACATGCCCTCCAAAGGCAACACTAGAATGCTTTTCTTCAGCAGCAGTAGAGAATGCATCATGGAAACAGATAAAGTTACAGCTGAAGATGTGGCTTACTCCTTGTCAGGTGATAAAAAAATGATTGACTTGATGACTAATTTTAGAGATGACTTCATATTTTCCCAGTACTGTATATTCATATTCAATTACATCTAACTTAGTACAATTACTCAGTGAAAGAAACCAGTAGAATAATCTGAGAGTAAGAGTAAGAACCTCACAAGCCTTCTATTCCAGAGTAGGGAGAACCACAACCCTAGACACCCAAGAAAAATCAGTTAAATCTTTTTTATAACATCCGTCACCACATAAAGTGTTCTACAAAAGACACAGGGAAACATACTCACTCCAGTGGCTCTTCGTTTCTTTCTAATGCTCTGACCATCGTTTTGTTCAGCACCAGAGGTACAGCTACTATCTGTGCCTGCATCTGCCAAACTGAAGACTGCAAGAGCTGAGGATGCATTTGATGATAAAGAGTTTCCTTCTCCATTACTCTCCTTGGCATTCTGATTCTCTGAAGGTGGTCCAGAACTCTCCTGGCTGTTCAGGTCTTTTGTCAAATGCATCAAAGATTTTGCACAGTCAGAGGATAATTGTGCACTATGTCGCCTTCGAGTAGCAACATTTTCAGCCCTTTCTCCTGTTCTGAGGGAGGCAGCAAGAGGTGTCATTTCCTGCTTAAGGCTCACAGTTGTTTTCTGACTCTGTGCAGCCCTCAATGAGTTAGTAGGTGAAAAAATCTGCTGGGGCTCATTTTCTTTGCCTGCACCTTCCTCACTGAAGAAGCTATACACAGAAGGAGCCCTGTCCATGATCACACTGCTCTCAGAAAGACTTCGCTTCCTTGCCAACCCAGGGGATGAAGAAATGGAAACATCTTCCCACTGGAATCCTTCTAGGTTGGGCAGATCAGGCTCCTCATCCAAATCCAAGACCTCTTGTTCATTCTGAACTAGAGGAACCATTTCTATGCCAAACCTTAAGAAAGAAAAAAAAAATCATAAATCAAACATGGTTGAGAGAAGGAAGTACCACTTAATGTGTCAGACTCTGTTAAGCACTGAGGTGACAAATATAAATAAGATGGTTTCCGTCCTCAAGGAGCTCACAGTCTGAGAGCTTTACAGACATAAATGACCACTGTATAAGTATTATAAATATTGTAAAGCAAGATATAGATAAAAGTATGCCTAAATTAGACATCAGTACTAAATTAGAGATTAGTATACAGCTTTAAGAATACATTTGAGAGAGTAAAAATTGAGGGTTTTATTTAATATGGAGCTTGAAACCAGTAAGTACATAATTTTTAACAGCAATACAAACCAATTTAAAACACACACACACACAAAAATATCTATTAAGCATTCACAAGTGCCAGAAATTATACTAAGAACTTCATATCTGTAATCTTAGTAATACTCACAAGTTATGGAAAAGGAAAGGGAGGCACAATAAATGTTATTTCAATAAGGACAGAAGTTTAAACCTAGAGGGCTACATAATTATAATGCAGCAGGATGATGTTCAAGTAGCAAGCTAGTGCTGAACACTGCTTTACCATCCAGAAAAGTTTTGTACCTCAACATCAGATGATTAGCCAAAATATTACACAAGTACGTAAGAGAAAATATTTTGTGATAACAAATATAATGTCCAGAGTATATATAGAAGGGTAACTACCCATAGGTTCTAGGTAAAATGTAATGAGAACATTTATATTTAAAGTTGCACCACTCAATTAAAATCTATAAATAAGAAACAGATTTATATATATATATATATATTTTTTTTTATGTTGTTACTTTCTGGTCCCCAAAACCAAAGTGCTGGATTTCTGGTGATTTTTTCCTATGTCCCCATCTCAATTTTTCAGAAGTTCTGTGCTTCTTTTTAGCCTGAATTTCCTACTAGGAAACACTTTATTCCATTTGTTATAGAGTAGCAGTCATTCTTTGGTATTTAAACCAGATCTCTAACACATTCTAAAAACTGATTTTTAGAGAGGAAGGGAGGGAAGAAAGAGAAAGAGAGAGAGAAATACTGATTTGTTGTTCCACTTATTTATGCCTTCATTGGTTGATGTTTGTATATGCCCCAACTGGAGATCAAACCCACAACCTTGGTGTATCGGGACAACGTTCTAACCAACTGAGCTACTTGGTCAGGGCACAGCATTTAATTAAATGTAACAAGAATTCTCTTGGCCAGGGTTAAAAGGAAGAGAAAGATACTGAAAAGAGGCACATACCTGGGTAAGCCTTTGCCTAGCTCTTGCTTTTTCTTGGTTACTTGATGAATGACCTGTTCCCAGTTGACATTTCTCCGAGATGCATTTAGAATCTGCCGAAGGGTTGGCTTGAGCCCAGATTCCTTCTCTGTTTCACTCTTTCGATGACCACTAATATTGCGAATGCGGCGAGCACTATTGAGGTTTGGCTCAGGAAGGTGTGCTCCAGTTTTGCTCTTCAAACTAATGTGCCGGGTGAGATCTCTTTGGAGTGAGGCAGGAAAGCCCAGCTTACTCAGTTCAGGCAGAAGAAGGCCTGAGGGCTGAGCTATATCGCTTTTTTGAAGCTCTGCATCCAAACTAGTACTCTCAAAGCCCTCTGTTTCATAAGATACATGAGATTTAGCAGAATCCTCAACCTGCACATCTTCTAGAGAGGTTTTCAAGTCTAGCAGCAAGCCAGAGTGTGGACTGGCTGCAGATGTCATCTGTAACTCAGATTCTTTCTGGTGAACTACTGACTCACATGGGGGAGTGGACAGTTTTCTAGATGTTCTCAGGTTTTGGTCATTTCCCTCTTTCTCGTCAGCACTGTGAGTGCTGCAGGATAAAACTTCTGTAGTTGCAGAACCGAGGGTTCCAATTTTTGTTTCATGCTTTACCACGTCAGATATCTCTCCATCACTTTCATCTTCTAATGAGTGTACTTGAAACTCAATCATTAAAGATCCTTTTTCAGACTCTTCTATATTCCTACTTGCTTTTTCATAGTTCCTGGTCCTTTTAGAAGGACTAAGTGGATTTTGCAATGACTCAGGACAGTGGAGCACCTCTTTGACTTTCTGTAATGTATCACTTAAACATTCAGCAGGCTCCCTCTGAGTGCCAAATCTACTTTTATTCCCTTTCAAAACACGAGGACATGAATTTTGCAATTTGGACATGTAAGAAGCATGATTATCTTCCTCTGTGTGTTTGTTCAAGGAATTTGAATGTTCTCTAGGAAAAAGAGAATTCACTTTGGTGTTTTTTGAAGGATTCTTTGAATCTTGCTTTTGAGGGACTGATTTAGTAACTGGAATTGGAAGAAGTGGGGATTTTAATGGTGGCCTCTTATTGAAGTTATGCACTTGTTCCGGTTTTTCTGTAATGGAGGATTCTCTCACCACCCCATAGGAAGCTGTGCAGTCAGAAGTGGCTTTGTGATTAAGAGATCCAGTACGTGTTTCTTTTTGTGTTTTCAACATTGGGGAATTATTTATTTCACCAACTTGCGGCTCACGTATTCCTGTGATTAATGTAAAATCAAATAAAGGCTCATCTATCATTTCTGACTTGTTACCAGTGACTTCTTTCACTCCTGATTGTAAATCCAGAGTCTTCTGTGAAGGGTAAGGAGTCCAGCGATGGAGCTTTTCCCTTGCTACATTGCTGTTCTTCCCACCCATTTTGGAAGCTATGGTCTCTGTCTGTTTAGTGGTTTGACTTTCCGGCTGCTCAAAATTGAAGTCAAACAAGCTTTGTGAAGAAAATTTATCACATGTATATTCTTCAGAAGAACCTCTGTATGTGGCAACTGTACTAACTTTGTCATTTTCTTGCCGCTGCCACTTATATCTCTCTTGATTATATTTGTTTGATTTAGATTTCTTTTTCCATGGCATGGTCATATCTTCCATTTGCAAGTTAGAATTTCTGTTTCTGCCTGGTTGAAATTTGTCTCCAGGGCTATTGTAATTCCAACTATTTGCACTGTGTATACTGGATTTCCAGTTTCCGTTACTGCTATTCTTATGCCAACTTGAAAAGCCACCTGTTCCTTCAGAATGCCAGTTGGAATTCCTTCCTGTACCATTGTGACTCCAATCTACCGTTCCATTATTTGAATGCCAACTACCTCCAGAATTACTATGGTTATGAAACCAAGTTGAGGAGCCTCCTGCAACACCCTTATGCCACCCAGAACACCCTCTTGGTCCACCACTATTCCTCAAAGAATGTGCAAAGCTGTTTTTTCTAGTATTACTAAAGCCATCTTTCTCCCATTTCCAATCCCGCTGAGGAGGTCCCCGATGATGCCATGCTGGCTGACTGTAGCTCTCTCTGTCTTGGTAAGGAATTCTGTCTTCTCTTCTCCATTGAAGGCGCCTGTCATCAGACTTTATTTCTTGGCTGCTATTGGCAGGTTCATCTTGTCTGGAAAAAAAAGTTTTTCATTACTGATTTAAAGGAACTCTTATACTTCCTTTAAAGGTATAACCAAACTTCCCCTCGACCTCCCTCCTGTTACTTAGAATATGTAAAAGAGTCCATTTTTATTTCTAATAATGCTTGTTTTCATATCTTTAAATGATAGTTAAACTTATATTCACAATTTAGAAATTAAATGTTTCTCCTCACCCCAGAAACATTAAAAATTTGACACATTTATACTATGTTCCTGTTTTTCTTGGCATGTTCTGGGTTTTTGTCCCTATCATCTAATTATTATTTTTACATTATGTGGCCTTTTTGAAAAACAAAAAAAACATATTTTGCAGCTATGGTTAGCTATTATAGTTAATGCAATTTAAGTTCAACTGCTCTTATTACCATGATTTCTCCAGTTGTTAATTCTTTCTGAAAAACCTAATTTCTTAACCTATTTTAAATGGTAAGATTTTACTATGCATGATCTCCTTCATTAATATATACTTATCAAGAACATAGTCAATGACTGTTAGTTGTGAATGAAATCTTTTATGCATTGTTCCTGTTGCAACTTAGCTGAGAAAATAAGGTCACAAACCGGAGTAAAATAGCACCAAACAAATAACCTGCACGCACAGTAAGTGCCAAAAGGAGCTCCACGTGCTAGAGGTTTTCCTAAAGAAGTTATAGCTCTTTGAACTATTCATGTTAGACAAAGAGCCCAAAGAAATGTGAACAAATTTAAGTAGACATCACAGGAATATGTGTAAAACTATTTCCTCTACAAACGTCCTACAATATGCCTAGCACAGTGTTTAGCATATGGTAGTGCTCAAAAAATTGAGTAATACTAGATCAAATGTACTGAGTATCTACTAATTGTCAGGCATTTAATGCTAAGTACTTTATATAGATTATTTCATTTAATTTTCATAGTTTTGAAGCAAGTATTCTTATTATTCCTACTTTTTAGCTGAGGAAACTGAGGATTAGAGAAGTAACTTGCCCAGCATAGCACAGACAGTTAAGTGATATGGCAGAGATTTGGACCTTGGCAGTCTGACCCTAGAGTCTACACTCTTAATCACTGTCCTTGATAGAATGAAAATCCCAAAACAAAGTTTCTTGTAGTTGGGTTTCCTCCTCTGAACTTAACATAAATCTTAAATTCAGTACTGACTTTAATTGGCTCTAAAAGCTTCTAACGTCTATAAGATTAGAAGTTAACTATAATTAGAAGTTAACTATAATATGAATTTACTGAGAAGCTCTTTTATCCTGACTTAATGTTTAATCATGTACACAGATAAGCTAACAATGGCACAAGGGTGTAATAAGCAAAATAAAAGTTAGTCTAGAGGCTCTAAAACCTTAAAACAGGAATAAACTACAACTATACTGAAAGTAGTGACAATGTCATTTGAAGGACTGAACAATTATGAACCAAGTGTGCACTGACATTTTAAAACTAAGAAAGTCTCCATCAAGGACTCATTTAAAAACACTTTTAGAATATAGAGTTAAAATTACTTTCATTTTATATTCAACCCTCTAACTAAAAATGAAGTGTAGACCAGATATAACTAGTATTCAAGAAGGATCTTTAACATTTTATTTTAGAATTTGAAATATTTCTCATCTTGTCCCAGGACTTGCAAAATTGCCCCCGTCTCATAACTGGTTCTCTCTAACTCATATTTGAAAATTTCTGTTTCATTAAAGTCTTTAGACCAAAAATTAGCAAGGTTAAAATACAACAAACAGTCTAATATGTGAATTATACATGTAGGTATGAAAAGTATGTAACACAAGTAAGAAATCCTATATTGTTGAAATGATCTTGACAGTCAAATTTAAAATATAAATTTGTTCAATACTTATTTACTAAAGCACTTAATAATGAAAGGATCAATCAAATTGGTAGAAGCACCATGTTAATTCAATTAGGCAAAACAGTTTTGCCTGAGGGATGCAATAAGGATACTATATAAAATAATCATATGAAGCTTATATACTAATACCTTTCCACTAGAAAATTTGGATATCAAATAAAAAGAATTTATTAGCATACAAAAACTTTGGAACTAATAAAAATAGACCTAAACATAGTTATCAAAAGGTTAAAATTTTCAGATATGTAGCAGTGATAGCTAGCTTTTATGTAGGAACAACATGAGTTTTGTTTTTGTTTTATCTTCACTCGAGGATTTTTTTTTCCCATTTTTTGTTTTTGTTTTTTTTAAAGCAAATAGTTCAGTAGTTCAAGAAAGCATTCCATTGCCCTTTTATGCATAAGACAGCTACTTCAAGCTAAACTTTATAACTAAGATAAGGTTGAATGCTGTAGGCTGACAAATATGGAAATGAAAAATGTAATCTCTACTATATTGTTTCAGATAAGCTTTTTGAAAATCAAAATCATTACTCACCGACTTTGTTCTTTCCTTTGTTTTATTAACTGAACGAGTTCCTTGTCAAAATAATCTTCTTCCTCCTCTTCTCCCTTTCCATCATCTTCTCTTTCCTGGGCATCAACGTTATCTTTGTGCAACTGTCCAGAAATGTGCTTTGCATATGCGGAAAGACCCACTTCTGTGACCCCACATACCCGGCATTCATGACTACTGTCCCTGGGAAAAGAGGGAGATGAGGGACATTCAATTCTCGCCACTGGCATGGCACACTCACCAGATCTGCTATGGTTTCCTCTGAAAGACAATGCACACTTTGACACAGTGGAAAATTAGTGCCAATCAATTTCAATGGTCCTTTCATCCCTTTTAATAAGTTTGTTCATAAGTTACTTTTGAAATTAATTTAAGATTCTTTTCCAGCAATCAAGAGGCAATATACTTCAGAATAATGTCGTTCAGGAGGAGAAATCTTCTTGAATTGCTGTATTTAAAATCTTGCCAGAGGAAACATGGTGAAAGGGGAGGCAGGGCAGGGGGCTCAGAGCAAACAGAAGTTGCTCTGGAGCACACCCATGGTGCCAGCTGCACTCAGAAAGCCTGGTAACAGCGCTTACATTTAATCTCTGGCTCAAGAACTTTCTCCCAGTGAAAGTGAAGGGGTGGAGAAAAGAGTAGGCAGCATAGCCAATCCCAACAGGGTAACTAAATCGGAACAGATGGAGCTCTGCCTGGAATGTGAAGATTCCGGACCCAGGGCAAATGATCGGAGTAGTCTCAGCAAACTTTTTTGGTCTGAATGATACATGTGATCTACATTCTGCATCAGAAGGGCTTATTTTAAAGGGAATGGAAAGCATTTCAGTTGTAGGAAGTCAACAGCTGTGCTAGACAAATGGTTTTTCTCAAGTTTCAGAAAACACTACCATTCAGACAGAGGCAAAACAAGTTCTTAGTTAAGAAAATTGATTGAGTAGATTTTTTTCTTTTACTTTATACACTTAATGGTTAAGCTCACCCTTGACCAGTTTAAGAAGCTATAGTAGACAAATAATTTCTCTGCTTTTTTAGCATCCTGAAATCCCTTGACTGGCTCAGCTATCCATGTGGTCAGTGATGAGAAACATCTGAACACCATGACCACTGCTATGATGAATGGACAGTGATATCCATTCCATAATCCAAATTGGCTTAACTCTAATCATTTATCTTGGTGTTATACTAGTGCCAATTTATTAAAAAGAAGACATGCTGTCTTTGCTAAAACAGACACAGACACACAGACACTACTCCATCTTCCCTTTTTTTTTTAATTCAAAAATTTTAAATTAAAAAAAAATTACTGAGCAACTACTAAGTTGCTAAGTAGATGGTTAAAGTGGTCTAAGTTGACAAAGCATAAACAAAAAATGCCCAGTGTGTCCAGTATATTAAAACACACACACACACATACACACACACACACACACACACACACACATTTTCTTACTTTGTAAGAATCATGGAAGACATCTAAGAAAAATGGAGCAAATTCATAAAGTTTTGTGGACTTTTCAACCTTAAATACTCTGAATACAAACTAGTCTTTGACATTAAGATTCATTTTAATGACTTCTAACCAGGTTCCCTGAAAATATCATTACTTGGTTACTCTGAATATTAATATTCTAAGTCCTTCCAATCCTCTAGGAACTTTAATACATTATTTTCACTGAAAAATTTCCACTACATTTATATATTTAAAGAAAAATAGTCCTGCCCTGGCCAGTTTGGCTCAGCAGTTAGAGAGCTGACCTGCGGACCAGAGAGTCCTAGGTTCGGTTCCTGCTCAGGGCACGTACCTCGGTTGCGGTTTGGCCCCGGCCCTGGGTGGGGTCATGCAGGTGGCAACCAGTCTATGTGTCTCTCTCACATTGATGTTTTTCTCTCTCTCTCTCTCTCTCTCTCTCTCTCTCCTTCCCTCCCTTCCATTCTATCTTAAAAAAACAGCAATGGGCCTTGGCCGGTTTGGCTCAGCGGTTAGAGCGTCGCCTGCGATCCACAGAGACCCAGGTTCGGTTCCCACCAAGGGCACGTACCTTGGTTGCAGTTTGTCCCTGGCCCTGGTTGGTCGTGTGGGTGGCGGCCACTCAATGTGTCCCTTTCACGTCGATGTTTCTCTCTCTCTCTCTTCCTCTCTCTCCCTCCCACTCTACCTGAACAAAAAAAATGGAAAAATGTCCTCGGGTGAGGATAAAAAAAAAACAAAAAACAGCAATGGAAAAATATCCTCGGGTGAGGATTAACAATAAATAAATAAATTTTTTCTTAAAACAGAAAAAAATTTTCTGTATTTTTCTTAAAACAGAAATTCCTAATATTTTCTTATAAATGAAATCTAGTTTCAAGAAGAAATAGATAAGCTTTATAAGACACAAAAAGAGAAAAGAGAATCCATATTTGTCTAGGGAAAGAATAGGGTAGGCCAACCACATGGCCTGAAAATTCAAATGTATCTGTGTCTGGAAATAAGCATATTCCACACACAATACGCATTCATGGTGTTTGGGAAAGCCCATGTTTTCAAAAGTTAACAGCAAATTAAATAATATCTTAATGATGATACTTTTCAATTCTTTATCAATAACCAGTTAAAATACTACTTTGTATAAATATCTAAAGTAATTTTTGGAAAAAAGTACTGCTTTACTTCTTGACTAATAAAGGTAAAAATTTTCCTCAGCGTGTGTAAAGGAGGGACCAAATTAGCTTCATCCTGTTACCACACAATTTCCTCTCGAGTGTGAAAGGCAAAGCCTTAAGATATTCCATCCATAAGCTTTTCTTTATTAAGCTTGCTCTAACTACACCACAACAGCTGATTGATAAATAAAGGTCTGTGCCTTTTTAATAGTATCTATCTGCAGAAACTACTTACAGGCCACATATCTGAGCAGTATATTAGAAAAAAATAAGGAAATGCTCCAAATGTCCACAACTGTGAACCAAATAAGGCAAGTTATTTACTTCTCAATCAAGCTGGCATTCAAACCTAAAAAAATATGCTCTTTACATTTGTAACCAGATCACAACCAAAAGTTATAGTGATACAAATATAAAGAGGAACAGAAAGCCCTAACATCAGAAAGCTAGTATTTAACATGAAATCCAGAGAGAAAAAAAATCATAAACTGATGATAGAAAAAGAAATAACAGCAGATAACTTTTCTTAAAACACACTAAGTGTGTTCCTTTGGCACACACTAATGATGACTGCCTCTATAGAAATGCTCCAAGTAAGTAAATTATTTGAGATTGTGTTTTTTTATTTTTTTTCATCCTCACCCAAGGACATTTTTCCATTTTTTTGTTCAGATAGAGTGGGAGGGAGAGAAAGGAAGAAAGAGAGAAAGAAACGACGACGTGAAAGGAACACATCGAGTGGCCGCCACCCGCACGACCAACCAGGGCCGGGGACAAACTGCAATCGAAGTACATGCCCTTAGCGGGAACCGAACCTGGGTCTCTCTGGACCACAGGCCAACGCTCTAACTGCTGAGCCTAACTGGCCAGGGCTGAGATTTTGTGTTTTTTTACAGTTTTGTCAGCTGTTTGTTCTTGCTACCTGCTTGCCTTCTCCCTTATTATTTGTCACGGGCCAGAAAACCATACAAAACTTATTAGCTCTGTATCTAAAAAAATAAGTAAATTAGTACTAAAGTGCTCTCCTCTAAAAATGAGTTTGGGTGTTAATGCTGATTAAATAGTTAATTTGTGATCAGTTTCCCAATGTTCCTCTGTTTCATACTGTCTCCAAAAAAAAACAACATGGAATATATACATATGCTACATTTATTTTTTTAAAAATATGTTTTCACTGATTTTTATAGAGAGGGGAAGGGAGAAAGAGACAGGAACACCAATGTGAGAGAGAAACATGGATTGGCTGCCTCCTACATGCCCCCCACTGGGGATCGAGCCTGCACCCTGGGCACGTGCTCTGACGGAATCGAATAGGGACCTCTAGTTCATGGGATGACATCAGTCCACTGAGTCACACCAGCTGGGCTACTACATGTAATTTTTTAAAGGTGCTTACTTATTAGATTTTCTTGCCTTACGTCACATAACAGCATTCTTAAACACTCAAGGTTTGTACTTGGATTTCATTTACACTAATGAGATTCAGTACTATTTAGCAGACTTTGGACTTCTCAGACTATTCTAGCAACAGTAGAAGTTTATTGCATACAGTACAATATCTCCCACCACCACCACCACCATTCCACTCCAACCACTTAATAAAAAAATAAAAAAATAATACAATATAAAATGTCCCAGTTGCAAGGATGGTGTGTAGGAATGACAAAGCTTGCTAATGAGAGAACTAGCTCATCCCAATTCAACTTTGTTGTGATCTACTTACTAGAGTTGCTGTGAATTTTGCACATTTGAGATACACAAAGATTTCATCTTTTTGAATGACAAAAAAAAAAAATCTATTGTACTTGTTATTAATGCTAAATGATAGTTCCATGCCATAAGATAATATTCATTTATGAAGGATTGTTATAAAATAAGCTGACAGGTCTCATCAGCACTCAGATCCCCCCACATTCACAAGTTCATGGAAGATAGCCGTTTCCATACCTGCCCTTCAGGTTCTCAAGTTCTCTGTGATGCAACATGCTCCGCATATGTTCGTCCATTTCCTTCAAAATTAAAGAAAGCTGATTAAACTAAGGGGGACTGCTTTTGGGGAAAAAAAATTCCTGCTTCTGTTTAGTCAACAGCTGGGGCTCAAGCTCCTAATGTCAAAAGTGTTTGTTGTGATTATGCCTCTTAATTCAGTTTTGTAATAAGTTCCTTATTAAATAATTCTTTAGCTATGTTCTTGAAATACTGCATTTTTAAATAAAGGAATTTTTTAAAAGACTTATATAAGTGGCTTTCTAAAAAGGTTAAAAAGTATATTGCTTTTACAAGGCAAAAGTTTTTTTTTTTTTGTATGTGCCCCTAGCGGGAACTGAACCTAGGACTCTCTGGTCTGCAGGCCGAGGCTCCAAAAGCTGAGCCAAACTGGCCAGGGCACAAGGCAAAAGTTCTAAGAATGAATTATGTGGGTTAAATTCTATCTCAATATAAGAAATTTACTAAAGTCTATTTAAAAAACAACTCTGAAATCACATAACTTCTCAACTATTTGACTACTTTGCTACATACTCTCTTTCCCCACTCAAATGAAAGTTTCTCAAAAGTAAGTTACAACTCATATTCATGTCTTGGCCTGGGCCTGGCATACAGTTGTAAATATCTGTTGAATGAACAGATGGAGACATCAATTCTAGACAGAACTTAAGGATATAATAGAACTTCTCTATGGTTGATCATGAAGTTTTTAAAAACTATTTTGAACATAGTACCTCAATCATGCCTTCATCTTCACTGCCCACTGCCCCCAATTGATTTGTTTGGTTCTAAAGAAAAGTTTGAAAATTTACTAGATTCTCCCCCTCCCTCCATGGGAAGTTTCCACTTTAAAACACAGACACATATATGCACATACCTCAAAACACTCAAAAGCTATAAACGTCTATCCCTTTGCTATGCCAAAGTATACCTACCAAGTATGCCATAATTAGTATTAATTGTGCCCCGGGCTTAAGTGCCTCAAACATTTTCTCACTTGAACTGCATATGGACACAAGCACAAAGAGAAGCTAATTCATTTATTCAACTAACATTTACCAAGTGTTTATTATCAAGTACAGAGCTAGGCACTGAAGGGGTAAGTGTGAAAATATTCCCAGTCTTGCCCTCTCCAAGTCATAGATAATCAAGTGGTTAAACTAGGACTCAAACTTTGGCAGATCTGACACCAAAGCCAGTATTTCAAACAACATGTTTAATTGTAAGCATCTAGTGCCTTGAGATTTTTCATTGTATAGTTTGTCAAAAAGCATACAACAACCTAACAACCTAGTCTAAATTCAAGTTATCTACTACAGTGTGACAAACAATCCTTTAAATAGCAATTTTGCTGAAGATGACCACCACTTCCTTCTTACCCCCACAAATCTTCATTTGGAAGGGACAGTTTTACATGTGACCCCTTCTAACTACAACTGATTGGCCACTAACTAGAATGGTTAGAATTGAAAACTGAGTCAAGTTAGTGACATAATATAGAATGAAAAAGTCCACGAACAATACACAACACCAGCTCAAATCTTTATTGATTGTTCAATTTCTTCCTTGGATTAAGACTTATATATGCCAAGGCCCTGGCCAGGTAGCTCAGTTGGTTAGAGTGTCCTCCTGATGTGCCAAGGTTGAGAGTTCAATCTCCAGTCAGGGCACACACAAGAATCAACCAATGCCCTGGCCAGAGTGGCTCAGCAGTTAGAGCATCAGCCACAGACCAAAGGGTCTCAGGTTTATTTCCAGTTAAGGGCATACACATACCTAGGTTGTAGGTTCAATCCCCAGCCCTGGTCAGGGTGCATGAGGGAGGCAACCAATCAATGTGTCTCTCTCACACTGATGTCTCTCTCTCTCCCTCCCCCACTTCTCTCTAAAAAAAAAAAAAAAAAAGCAATGGAAAAAATATCCTCAGGTGAGGATTAACAAAAAAAAAAAAAATCAACTAAGGAATGCATAAATAAATGGAATAACAAGCTGATGTTTCTCTTTCTCTCTGCCCCTTCCTCTCTCTAAAATCAAAATAATATTTTTATAAAAGATTTACATATGCCAAATCCCCTCTTTTTAAGCTAAATTTAAGTGAGTTCTGTTTCTTGCAATGAAACCATTCCTGACCCAAACAGAATTCACTGAAATGAGTTATTCTCTGATATAAAAACCAACTCTATATTTCTATATAAAAATGTTATCATTCAAAACTAGTTTAAACATGACTTGATTGTCCCAGATCTTTTCCTAATATTTACCTATGAAATGCTCTCCCATCTTGATCTAAGGAATAAATGCAAAAAGAGATAAACTGAGCTCTTAAAATAACTGGTAAAGATCCACAGGCACAGGATTAAAGTAATAGCTGTAAATGCCTACCTGTTCAGTTACCAAGCTTCTATTTAGTTCCTTTTATATTGATCAGTATTATGTTTGTTTGTTTTTAATCCTCACCCAAGGATATGTTTTTATTGATTTTTGGGTTTTTTTTTAAGAGAGACGGGGAGAGAGAAACATCAATGTGAGACCAGGGATCAAACACAACCTAGGTATGTGCACTGACTGAGAATGAGCCTGAAAATTTTTGGTGTACAGGACAATGCTCCAACCAACTAAGCCAACCAGCCAGGGCAATTTTATGTTTTTTAAAAGAGGGGAAAGAAGGGGAAAAATTTTTGGTCAGTGAACAAACAAATCTGGAAAGCAATAAATAATATTAAAATTTTTTTTAATATATTTTTTTTAACTCCAGGGCTTCGTAGTCTTTCACAAGTTAATAAGCATCAGGATACTCAGAGATGTAGTAAACAGCTCATACTTTAGTCACCCTGGATCTTTTCTCCTCCACAGTGATTTTGGAAAAACCAGGGTTATACCAGTTTGGGAAACTAGAGGAGAGAGCATTGCTTTATCTTAAGTTGCTCATGATCTATCTGCAAATAAGTATCTGAGTTATCTCTCTCAATTAACCTATTCTAATTTCTTAGACCACCTTAATCTTAACACTGAAATCATGCCATATATAGACCTATATAGTTGCTAAAAGACCTATATACTAGTTAGCTTTCTCTAAGGCAGGAGTGGATAATCCCAGCCCTTGATTTACCTTCATTATGATCCATGTAAAAGTATGAGATGGAAAGTATGTTTCAAATCAGAGTAGAAGACTTTTGCCAAAAAGACTTAAAATATCAAAATTATGATATTTTAAGATAGGGCTGCTGCTTTATCAAAGTCTGAATCCCTTATCCATCTCACATCTTCTCAATTTCCCATCCCTCTAATTTGAAAGTAGCCATAAGGAATTTTTCTTTATTGAAAATTTATATAAACCCTGATCTAAATTTTTAAAACTAGAAAAGCAGTTATTTATTTTTTAAAGCAACAGGTATATTATGATACATGATTTTTTTTTTTTTAATCCTCACCCGAGGACATTTTTCGATGTTTTGCTCAGATAGAGTGGGAGGGAGAGAGAGAGAGAAAAAAACATCGACGTGAAAGGGACACATCGAGTGGTTGCCACCCACATGACCCAACCAGGGCCGGAGACAAACCTCAACCGAGGTATGTGCCCTTAGCAGGAATCAAACCTGGGTCTCTCCAGACCGCAGGCTGATGCTCTAACCTCTGAGTCAAACTGGCCAGGGCTGATATATGATTTTTAAATCTCAACTGATTTTTTTCATCACTATACAGGGAAAATAAATTCTTCACCCCAGCCTACTGGATGGATCATAATCAAACCCCTCAGTCTTGCATTCAACAGTTTATCAAATGTCTTCACTTAAGTTACAAATTAAATTGCAGTTCCACTATTCCCAAGATGAAACTGTTTTAATGAGATGAGCCTTCTTACCAACTCCCAGAACTATTATATTCCATTCTATCTCTGTATCTTTGTACAGATGTTCTCCCACCGAAAATATCTCTTCTCTATTTCTTTTTGTTTTGTTAATCCTTACCCGAGGATATTTTTTCCATTGATTTTTAGAGGGGGGGGGGGGGAGAGGGGCAGAGAGAGAAACATCTATGTTAGAGAGACACAATGACTGGTTGCCTCCAGCACATGCCCCTATAGGGTGGGGGACTGAACATGCAACCCAGGTACGGGCCCTTGACCAGGAACTGAACCCACACTCGCCAGGGCATCTTCTCTTATTTCTTCATCCATCTTAGTCCCAAACATCTTTCATGATAGCTCAAAATAATATTTCCAGGTGTCTGAATTTCCAATAAAAACAAAGAACATCTTAAAAGCAGAGGGAAAAAAAACCCCTCAACATTTAAGCTAACAGCACTACTTTGAAAGCAAAGGATAAAGGCAAGAAAAAGCAAAAAGTATGACAACTTGCAGCCAATTTCCCTAAGGCACAGGTACATTCTTTTAGTTCTTAGAAACATCTGTTTTTCTTTGTGCAATATCCCCACCTTGTGGACATCTAGGATATTATTAATACCATTTCTGTTGGGTTGCACTTTTCACAAAGGCAGAAACAGAATGCAGGTGCATATAATGCTGTATCCTCAGCTAATTAGAAAGTAGTATAACCTCAAATAACCTAAATTTTAAGGTATTTTCTCCACAACTGTCTACTAACTAAATTTCACTTTATTATCTATTTTCAAGTATCCTTAAATTCTGGGTACAGGTTTAATAACACAGTTACTGGTTTCATGAGGCAGTAATGAGGAAAAAAACAGTGGATTGAGCCTATGGTTTAAGAAAGAAGCATAAATAAGACAACATTAAAAGCTTTTACCCCGCCTGGCCAGTGTGGCTCACTGACTCATGCACCAAGAGGTCGCCAGTTTGATTCCCAGTCAGGGCACATGCCCAGGTTGTGGGCCTGATCCCCAGTGGGGGGCATGCAGGAGGTGGCCAATCGATGTTCTTTCTCATCGATGTTTCTATTTCTCTCTCTCTCTCTCTCTCTTCCTCTCTCTCTGAAAATCAATAAAGAAAAAAATACTAAAAAATAAAAAGCTTTTACCTAGTTACAAATTTCATGTTTCTGAAAAAACAAAACAAAAAACCAGTTACAAAGTCTCAGATTCTCCCTCTTCTATTGTTACCTTTTTTGAGCTGTAAACAGTGTTGCACAATATGCATTTTCGTTCTCGTACCATAGTGACCAGATCTGAAGCACTCAACGTCACACCTGCAACGAGGAAGTAACATTTAGTAACCTTTCCCCCCCTTAGGTATCTTCTTAGATTCTTCTAAGCATGGCCAAAAATACAAGTCTTACATCTTCCGCACCTCCACCCTGCTCCTCCCCATCTTCTCATCTTGGAAAATAAAAATCCCAATTTTCCAGGTACCTAGGGCAAAAACAGAATCATCCTTGGTCCCTCTTTCTCACCCCATATCCACCTTCACCGGCAAATCCTGTCAATTCCACCTTGAAATATATCCAAAACCAACCATTTCTCACTACTTAGTTTATCACCACATGGCACTAGCCTACTGACTTGACATCCTACTTCTACTCTTATCCTCTTACAATCTATTCTCAGAAAAGTAGCCAGATTTCTCAGAATGAGATCTTTTAAAATTTAAGTCAGATCACATAACTCCTCTCCTCAGAATCTTCCAACTGATTCCCATCTCATTCAGCATTATCTCCAACCCCATGTGCTCTTTTGCAATGTGATCTTGTCATCACCACTCACCAAAAGTTGAGTCTATTTTCCTTCCCTGTGACCTGTTTTGACCAATAAAATGTGGTGGAAGTGACAATGTAATTTCTGAGATTGGGGCTTTAAAAAGCTGCAGCTTCTGCCTTTACGCACCCGGAACACTCACAGTCACCGTGCTGTGAGAAGCCCAAGCTACAAGGAGAGGCCAAGGGAAAAAAAAACTGACACCTCAGCTGAGCACCCAAACAATAACAGGACCACCTAACAACCATGTTGGAGCAAGTGAGCCATGTCAAGTGTTCCAGACCCACCTGCCAATGAGGGATCCCAAGTAAGACTAGTTAAAGAACCATGCAGACGAGCCCTTTTCAATGAACAGAATTGTAAGAAACAATAAAACCATTATTTTAAATCAGCAAATTTGGGGGTAGTTTGTTACACAGCAAGAGATAACTGAAACAAGTATCTTTTACTACCTAGCACAGTATATATTTGTTATTCTCTCTTTGCTCTGTTTAAAAATTTAGTGCCACGAGAACAAGGACTTGGTATATTTTGTTCACTAGTACAAGTCTAGCACTTAGGACAGTGTCTGGCACATTGCAGACACTTCATAAGTATTTGTTGAATTGTTCCAAATGGAAACATCTTGGGTTATTAAATGTGAGCTAGAGAGCTGGGTAAGTACTGGGGTTTGTATTAAGACTGGAGATTTTCTACTTTATAATCCTCCATACTTTCTTTTCGAGTCCCTGCAAAGATCCTCTACATGAGAACTGAATCCCACTCCTCAGGCAGCACTCTGTTCCTGTACACACACATGCACACCAGGCTCTAATAGATATGTCTGCTTCCTCTTCTGGCTTCATTCCTTAGGGGACTTAAAACTGAGGTAATGAAGTGATACACTATCCTAATTTAATCTGTAACTCCTAGACAACACAGCAGAAGGGCCAATGAGAAGAGGCCTAAAGTTCTCTACTTCTCCTGGTCACTCATCAGTTTTCCTGCTATTGCAACTCACTTCATACCATGACTTAAATGTCTAAAATAGTATTATTCAGTAACAAAGTACAAAACACCAAAATAAGATTATAGGGTAAAATTTTGCACATTTCAGCCCTGGCCAGTGTGGCTCAGTTGACTGGACATCACTTGGGTACCAAAAGGTTACCGGGTAGGATTCCTAGTCAGGGAACAGGCCCAGGCTGTGGTCTCAATCATGGGTAGGGGGCATGCAGGAGGCAGCCGGTCGGTCAACCTCACATTGAGGTTTCTATCTCTCTCTCTAAAAAAAAAAAAAAAAATTTAAAAAGTTTTTTTCTTTACATTTGAGAAAGCTGAATGTCAGCTATCTAATTAAACAAAGAAACACAACTTTATGGATAGGTACAGTATCATCTATGCTTCCAGTATTGCTGATAATCTCCTAAACCTTAAAATTAACATAACTCCAGTGCTAAGCCTCAAAGCATAATTATTCTTTTAATTCCCTTATATCCTAACATTTACTTCCATTTTAATTATAATTATATATATTTTTTTACTTTATCTTCAGATGAAGCGGGAGGTAGAGAGGGAGGAAGAAAGAGAAACATTGACGAGAGAGAAACACACGGACTGGCCGCCACCCACATGACCCCAACCGGGGCAGGGACAAACTGCAACCAGGGTACGTTCCCTTAGTGGGAACCGAACCCGAGACTCTTTGGTCCGTGGACCGATGCTCCAACTGTTGAGCCAAACAGGCCAGGGCAATTATGATTACTATTTACATGCAGTATTTGGTTACTTCATTCAACAAGCATTTACCAAATACCTAGCACTGCTCTAAAAGTTGGGGAAATAAATATTAGTAAAGAAGGTATGTCCAGAAAAGTTTCTAATACTGATTCAAGTTATTAACCCAAAACAAAACAGGAACAAAAAACTTAGCAGCAACAGTCAGTGAAAAAGTATGACATTCTGGCACAAGGAATAACAGTCATTGTGGACATTTTTACATATTTTCTCAATTGAAAACTAAATACTAAAATACAAATTATGTTTCCACCCTGGTCTGTTTGGCTCAGCGGTTAGAGCATTGGCCTGCGGTCCAGAGAGACCCAGGTTCGGTTCCCGCTAAGGGTGCATACCTCGGTTGCAGTTTGTCCCCGCCCTGGTTGGTCATGCAGGTGGCAGCCACTCGATGTGTCCCTTCCACGTCGATGTTTCTCTCTCTCTCTCTCTCTCTCTTCCTGCCTCCCTCCCACTCTATCTGAACAAAAAATGGAAAAATGTCCTTGGGTGAAGATAAAAACAAACAAACACGAATTGTGTTTCTATTTAATAAAGCCAGATACTCCTACTAAATCGATAAATAAAATCATTCTCTATCAAGCTTTTAACCAAAGACTCCCTCTTGTTATTTACTTTTTCCTTTTATGAGCTCCATGTTTCTAATCCCCATGTAATAAGTAAGTTCATTTTGACTTTTGTAAAAAGTAAAAAAGTATAACACCAAAATGTAACCAATAAGGAAGGTGTGGTATTTATTTATTTATTTATTTTTTAATCCTCACCCGAGGACATTTTTCCATTTTTTACTCAGATAGAGCGGGAAGGAGAGAGAGGGAGAGAGAGAAACATCGATGTGAAAGGGACACATCGAGTGGCCGCCACCCACACGACCCAACCAGGGCCGGAGACAAACTGCAGCCAAGGTACATGCCCTTAGCGGGAACCGAACCCGGGTCTCTGTGGACTGCAGGCTGATGCTCTAACCGCTGAGCCAAACCGGCCAGGGCAAGGTGTGGTATTTAAACACTGAGTTGATATGATTCTAGCCAAAGACAAGGTAATTTTAACTTGTACATCCTCAAAATGGATAATATGATTTCCATTAAGTTTTTGAAATACTGAAACTAGCTCACAGCCTTATATATGGGAATCACCCAAATCAGATCTCTAGTCCTTGAGAAGTTACATTATACAAGTCAAGTAAGTGTATAAAATTCAACTACAGCTCTCCTCACTTTAACCACCTTACCTTCCCCCTTATATACCTTTTACATATACCCACTATAAAATCTTTCAAAATTTCTCCGAATAACTATGAGAAATATCTGTGACATTCCTTGGTCATAATAGTCTTAAAATCCTATAATTAAGTACCTTTTCTTAACATCCTAATCACTATCCTGTCAATACAACTACTTTTCCCATATAATCAAAGCCATACTGATTTTCTTTCAGATTCCCATACTTAGATGCTAAGTCCTGATGGATTGTCATTTTTGTTATCTATTTTTATTCTTCACTGTGACAAAACTGCATGACCTTTCATCTGTTCTTCTCCTTTCACCCCACTGCTCTACTCACTAATGTTTACTGCCCTGACTCCTGCCACTAATATATAAACAACTTCTACATCTAAGCAGTTTATGAGAATTGCCCACATAATTTTATTAAGAAAAAGAAATACAGCCCTGGCTGATTTGGCTCAGCGGTTAGTGTTGACCTGCGGACCAAAGAGTCCTGGGTTCGATTCCAGCCAAGAGCATGTACTTCGGGGTTGTGGTTTGTCCCCAGCCCCAGTTGAGGTCATGTGGGTGGCAACCAGTCAATGTGTCTCTCTCACATTGATGCCCCCCCGCCCCCCGTCTGAAGATAAATGTAAAAATATCCTCGGGTAAGGATTAAAAAAATAAAATAACAATAATAATTAAAAAAAGGAAAAAAAAAGAAATAGTTATGCAGACAGGGTAGAACTATCGCATCAGAATCTCCAGAGACTCCATTTTGTACTTCATTATGCTCTCCCCATCCTTATACAAGAGTAGTTCCTCAAAGGTGACTTAAGCCCTGGCCGGTCTGGCTCAGCAGCTGGAGAGTCCGCCTGCGGTCCAGAGAGACCTGGGTTCGGTTCCTGCTAAGGGCGCGTACCTCAGTTGCAGTTTGGCCCTGGCCCTGGTTGGTCGTGCGGGTGGCAGCCACTTGATGTGTCCCTTTCAGGTCAATGTTTCTCTCTCTTTCTTCCTCTCTCCTCCTCCCACTCTGTCTGAACAAAAAATGGAAAAATGTCCTCGGGTGAGGATAAAAAAAAAAAAAAAGTGACTTAAATTGGTCAGCTAATAATCACTATCTTATTCATAACACTGTAATCCATCTCAAACATTAATGTCAGAATATTTCTCTGCTCTGGCTAGGTGGCTCAGTTGGTTGGAGCATCATCCTGTATACCAAAAGGCTGTGGGTGTGATTCCAAGTCAGGACACATACTTAGGTTATAGGTTCAAACCCCAGTCGGGATGCTGAGAGGCAACCCATGTTTCTCTCTCTCTCACATCAATAAAAACATTATCTTCTGGTGAGGATTAAAAAAAAAAGAAAGCATATTTTTCAAAACATTTATTATGTAATTCAAGGCTAGAAAACACTATTTAGTGCCAAGGAACTTTATTTGGAACATTGTTACATTATCCCATTTTACTGTTTAAAGAGCCTGTGAAATAAGGAAAACAGGTTGTTTGATAGTTGG